AAATTATCGATTTTTTGATTAAAAACCGGAAAAATTTTTGCTCCAAATATCGCAAAAAATAGGTTCCTCAGATGCAGCTCGACGCGCTGAGTCCAATGGCACCGACCACATTGATTGATCGCGCCTGTGAACCGAGAAACTATCGATTTTTTGGAAAACCGGAAAAATTTTTGCTCCAAATGCGCAAAAATTAAAAAATTGTCCAAGACATCAGGTCTACTTTAACATTAACCAATCCGATAGCCCGGCTGTCACCGGGCTCTCCATCCTTCTTGTGTTAAAGTTGGCGCCGCCTGCACTCTTTCAAGTTTCAAAAACCTGGTCCAAGAAAACAGGAGCCATTGAATTCCAGCGAAACACACACAACCGGCACACTTCGTGGATTGGGTTCATTCCTTCTTATTCCAACTACACTGCTCGATCCAGTTCACGTACTTTCTAGTACCATTGAACACCTTAGGTCAAAATTCTTAATTTGCGCTGCGTCCCGCCTGCTGTCAATGATGTCACCTCCCATAAACATTCCCATACTGCCGTCTTTATTCCTAGCAAATTTAAATGCCCTGGTCCAAACTGCCAGTTTTCAAGCAGGCCCCGCCCAGAGTCGAGAACTGTACCTATCTTTAGTGTTCCCACCCTACCAACCTTGCCACCTATACCCCTAATGAATTTGAACACGCTAGATGCACGATGACAGTATCCATAAGCTTTCGCTGAAACTCCGCCCATTATGGGAGGAGTTACCACCTACTACAAGCGTTCTTACCCTGCCGCATTTACTCCTACCGAGTTTAAGTGCTATAGGATCACGGGGACAGGAGTTATGAATTTTCGCTCAGACATTCATTTCTCACAAACCCCGCCCTCTTTGGGCGGAGTCCGATCCTGCCGCCCACCAATAGTAAGGGCGTTGTCTTCCAACAGAATAATTAGAGACTACACGTATTTTTGGTCACTCGTCAAAAACCGCTGGAGCTTAGGTGGGATGTCTTACCCCACCCACCATATAGTCTGGACATAGCATCGTCCCTTCTTTAGGTTTCTGCAAAATCTTTTGAATGGAAAATCGTTCAATATTCTAAAGGACTGCAAAAAGCACCTGAGCATTTTTCGATTCTAACAGTAAGTCCAGAACCTTCTGTTGAAGGGGGATAATGATACTGATAGGCGAACCGTTACTGAACAGCATGGACGATATGTTGTTTAATGAATGGATTTAATCTGACAGAAATTTTCTGTCAAAGATGATTTGAAAATCGGCAGAGACTTTCCGGACAACCCAATATATTTCAGAAGCATAGCATATTGAAAAGCTAAGCGAGCGAATCACCTACACCTTTCCTTTCGATGAAAACTTTTGTCGTGAAAAGCTGGGACACCTTCGCTGTTGTGTCCAAAGAACCTGAAAGCCGTCAGGGAAACATTTCGTTACAAGTTCAAAATCCCGTCGAGAACTCAAATAGACTTAAATGTGTTTTGGCATATCGACCACCAATGATATCAGGGTTTTATTTGAACATATGTGACAAAAAGAAAAGATACGAAGGGAAAAGACGTAAAATATCTATACAAATACCTATTTCCTAATCAGTTTTTTTCGCAGAAATATCATCATACCTCACGCTTGATTTCAAATGCTTAGTACTTACAGAAACGGAAAGGCAACGTCACCAACAGTTTCCAGGAATTGCTATGATGGGAAATACATGAATGAGAAACAAATTGCTACCAAAAAATACGAACGGATGGGAATACCGTGGAAAAAGACACACCAATATAACGCCCATACACAACAGTTTATAAAGAAGGTAGAGTTAAACACATTCAGAACACATCGATAGAGAAAGAATATTTGGAATATGTCAGTGAACTCGCGCTCTATCTCTCTTTCTTGTACAATATTGCTTGGCTGCAAGGGAAAAACACGAAGGCAATTTTCTCTCCCAGTGATTTTACTGATCGATGGATGAGGGATGGGCCGGTTTCGGGTGAACTGGGCGTCATTCAGGAGGGCGAACGCGGTAGTTTGCTGGCTGACGTCAATTCTACGCGGCCACGCACACCGGCGATTAGGTTTGACCCAAAGACTAGTGAAGCACTAGATTGTGTAGATGTATATGTGCTGTGTCATTTCACGCTATGCTTTTTGTCAGCAAATTGAGGACGCTGCAACAAGGACTATCGAAAAACATTGACACTGAAGAAATACGACAGAAAAACAGCATTATACCCATTAATTTGACAAACGAACAAACAAAGTGCGTCCAATTCAGGACGGAAAGGTAAAGGTGCTGCTGTGGCTGCATATGTGATCGCTTTTGATTGAGCTGTATTTCTAATCACATTTGAACATATGAAGGATCCTATGTTGGTTGCACCATGAGCTTAGTAGTCGAATGGAATAAAAAGATGAAGATGAAGGAGAACATGAGAAATGCGACATCTTAATTGAGATGGAATCCTTTTTCGTTGACCGCCGTCAGAAGACGTTCCCGTAATATATCAGCTGACGAATACTCGGGCAGTTTGAGGTAGTGCACGCAAGTATTCACCTGAAAAACACTGCCAACTAAGGGGAAATTTAAAAATGTTAGGTAGAACAAAAACTGTGAAACTGGAGAGAATAAGAAAGAAAAAAAAAAGAAAACCTAAGAAGATTAAACACATTCTAAACAAGCAGTTGTACACAATTATGAACAGTAATATAGTTTGCGACATTTTTGAAAACGATATGAAAAGGTTGACGGTAAATTGCTCATATACAGAGCAGTTGCTACCTCTTAAAAAAGAGGCTGAAAAAGGCTTAAAAAAACGTGAAAATTTATTTGCAAAGTCGTATTCTGAATGATCTGCATTGATGAGAAAAATCATAACATCAAAGCAAAACCTTATACGAATTATTGACATTTTAATTGCCTGGTATCAGGAGCAAAAAAAACTTTAAAGAATAACATATAGTAGGAGGCCACGATGTGTCTCAAGCAGTGCACTACGTGCAACAGCTACCAATTGTCTTACTTCTTCAGAATTATTTTATGGCTTGCTTGCTGCTAAATGGCGTGGCCGCTTATAAGTACACCACATGAAGATGAGCAAAACACTCATACTAACAGTATGATGGTGTCACGAACTTGGAAAACATGAATAGGCAATTTCGAAAGGTCTATTACAATGGAAAAAGCATGAGAGGAATTACGATTCATAAGCAAAACTCAAACCATTGTAACATTTTTGAATTTATCCGAATGTTATTTATAATGTCCGCCAAAATCACGTGCCGATTTTCTAGGATGAATTTAGTATAATTAGATAAATAACTCACAGAAGGATAGCTGCCATCACCGCTCTCGACTTTACGGACAACCGTCAAACGAGGATGGAGATTAGCGAGCCCACCTGCAACAAAACGAGATTTAAACTTAATCGACGTTATGAATAAGCATATCGAACGTACCAGGGGGTAAACTTGAGCATCCCGTTGCAAACTGAAGGAAGTTTTTCCGCTCTTGCGGATTCAGTTCCACCATAACATCAACAAATCGTAGAAAGCCCGGGGAATCTTTTGTGTAGCCTAGTTTGGGCTCCGTATAGTTGAGTACATCTTCGCGCGTCCATTCAGGACACTGCTCACCGGATAGTAATCGCTACAAGGGAATTTTTTGGAGTTGATCACATTTACGCATATATTGGAAACTGCTAATAGTCAGGACCTACCTGAACCTCTTCAGGACTGTATGAACGAAGAGCGCGAAGACCGAAAACACGATCGAAGCCATCACGGAATGCACGCATCTGAAAAGAGCATAAAGGAAGCTTTAAACCGCATCAGTCTACAATAATGTACCTGATTGATTATGCCCGTATTCAAATAGAAGTCTGCACATTTTTGCACATAAAGCTCGACATTGTCCATAGTAACATCCATGTCTGCACCACCTTCGACTAGTTCCATTTCTTCGTAGTCGAATACCGTCGATGGAGGATTCACCCTACATTGAAGAATATAAGCAGGATTTGATTTGAAAAACATTTTTACTGATTGCAGCGAAAATAAAAAAAAAGCGATTCGAAAGCATACGTGAAATTGAGAGCGAGATCTTCTACACGGCAACGAGTTCCATGAATGCATAATTTCAACTCGTCAATCTTTCGTCTTTTCGCCTCTCGGTCCAACATCGGCTCGTTCTCGATGGCTCGTTTCCTTTGGGCCAGCGCACGCAATTCCTTCAGGAAACCTCCTGGGTAAGGAAAAAGAATGAATTAAATGTAATTTTAAGGCTGACACTTTATGAAGTCTTCGTCTTAGAAAAGCTAGTCAATACTGATGAATACCCTATATGGAATTAAACTCAAAACTCAAGAACGAAAAAAATGGCTCTCCCACTAGAACTGCAAGCTTACTTGCCCTTTTGCCATAATAAGAACAATTAAGTGGACTAGAACTTGAATTTAACCGAACTTACCCTTGACAGGGTGTACTTCCTCGAAATCATCCAGGGAAAGCACTCGATCCAGCGACGGCTCTTCAGCCTCGCTAAGGTGTGGTGACACGATCAGCTTAAGAAACGGTCTAGCCAAGGGCAGATCTACCAGTCTTCCATCTTGAAGAACCTTAAACCAGTGAAATAATCAGTGCTTTCCAACTTCTGCAGATACGAAACCTTACAGACTTGGCAAATAATGCGATATAATTGCGTGCAAACCTTAGCAAGGAAGATTCCTAGAACTCGGAACATTTCAGACGCGCGACGAACTTCATCTGTATGCGGTGGAAGTGGAGCTGGAAACAGGCCTCCCGCACGACGTACATAGAATCTTAAGCGGCCGCGAATTGCGAACATAGTAACCAAGTATAAACATGCTATGAACAGCACTAACCCAGGCGGCTTCTTTCCTTCTCCCAGATCGAGTTCTCGTTCTTCCATCTTCAACTGGTGTTCATCCATGTCATCACATAACCAAATGGCTAACGCCTTCCTTTGCAGCTCAGCAGCAACCTGAGGGATTGAGAATCATGACAAAAGTACAATTGTGGGACCTGCCAAAAACGAACCAATGCATAGAACTCCAGAGTAGGACCCAGACCCGTACCCTCTTCACCAACGTATTCTATCTCAAGCACAGCCTTGCGATCAGCGTGGAATTTCATTACACGTATAGCCTGCTCAAGCAGATGTTCCTCCGAACGAGTGACCTTAAAAAGAGCAGAAACGGAATTATATATAAGTATATTTATAATTAAAAGGAAATGTAAAACAAACATACCTTTATTCGTTCATGTTTCAGACGTCCAACACGATACTCCTGATAACGATCATGTGGTCTAGTCGCGCTACTGGTGGTACTTTGAGCAGCGCCACGCGCTCGGTCGAGGGCTGCATCACGACGCGACTGCAGCCATACAATTGTGCGTGAAACTCCGAATGCAGTCGCTTGCATGTACATATTTCTAAACAAAGGTATAGTATAAAAAACTTAAACAAGGGTTAGAACTACACCCAAAAAACAGACTTGGTCTCGGCAGAGAATAGACATGGATAGCCGTAAATGAGGCGAGAACACCAGTCAGGCATCGCTCTTGCGGCAACTACCAGAGCATCAGATAGCTCCTAGAACACGGTGCTTCGAAACAGCTGTGACCGGTGAGCAATTAACAACTAACAAAAACCAAAAACGTATAGCGGAAGTAAAATCGTTAAAGATTACAAGAGATTCAAATTCGGAGACTCGGAAGAGGGAACTTTAAAAGGAAATCACCTGAGTAAGCTTGAGCGTCAACTTATCGCTGATGAACACCTGTGGGCTGATCTGTGCATCAGGGAAACGTTCGCCAATGCGTGACAGAAGACCGATGACTTCGAGGCACTAAACTTATACGAATGAAAAGCATATAGTCGATGCGCACAATGAAACTCAATAAAATACCTCGTTTACAGCTGGAGGAACCTTGCTGTCGTCTGATGCGATTTGTGAGAACTTTGTCACACAAGGCAAGGATGCATCTTCGTAAACTAGTGTGTATGTTGGTTCCCACACACGACGACTTCGCTCGCATTTCTACAATTTAGAAATTCGATTGAATATCCATTTTACGAATACCCTATGCTGGCTCACCGCTCCCCAATCAATTGCACCAACAAGCGCTTGAACATAATAGAACAGGCTATGATCATCCGCGCCCATTTCTATAGTGACATTCTCAATTCCGCTCATGTTTGGACCGCGAAGGAAGAGTCGCACGGAAGTTTCTTCAGGATGCTAGAACAGGACATCCAATAAGAGTAAAAATGCCGACAAAAAATATGAACATACCGGTACTGGCTTGGTCTGAGTGGGATCAGGGACCACAGCGGGAAGCTCCACATCTTGAGTCTGATTCACATTCGTACGACCCGGCCTCGGATCGAAGGCAGGAATCAACGCCTCAACCTCAAAAATTCAATGACTATTACTTGGTAAGTGAAACCACGAAACCTCACCTGGAAGGAACATTTCAACACCAATTCATCGTCCCACGAACGGAAGTTGTTCTTGTTACCGCCACGCTGTTCGCGATTTCTTGAGTCCAAACCTCCACTCATCAGCTGAGAGAACTGTTAGATGGAAAGAATGAGAAATCAAAGCTCTCCGTCGGATCGAATTTTAATACTTGAGTAGCAAAACCTACTTGTTTCCAATTCAACTTGAACCCTTCATTTCCTCGACCCGACAGCACTGTAGCCAGTGAGTCAACGGGAACGCCGAGCGCATTCAAGTCATCCTCAATGTCCTCTTCATTACCTTCCTCGTCGTCATAATAGTCATCCTTTACAAAACTATGTGAATATATGAAACATAAAAAAGAAAAACGTACGTTTCTGTATTGGGCTCTAGCAATATGCGACACCGTCTATAAAAAGAATAAAAACAGTCTGGCCAACACACCAGATATGTCCGAAAACCAAACAATGGAATCGGATCGATGCCGCGTCGACCAAGCTCAATAACCTAATTACTCTGATCTACTCTACATTTTCATAGTACTACCTAGTGACATCCAATATATCTCTACAAACTTCCTTCCTCTACCACTACCTCAACAGAGAGCGAAACGACAAAGAATGGAAATCAGTGGCAAAGCTGATAAACGGGATGCGCGATCTTTATTAGTTGGAATTTCATTTAGTCTATGCGCAGTTCAATGACGCGGATGAAAAGAGTCCTTTCCCCATCCCCCCCCCCCCCCCCCCCCCCCCAACTCTTCAGCTCCGCTGTAATTTCACGAGCATCCGGTGGGAATATATATAACTTAAACTATAAAAAGCAGTGAACGCGCTGCACATCTGGGCTGGGACCCCAAAACCAACTAGAGGCTCTCCCTTACAACTGGCAAGGATGAGGGTGCTATATGATCTCAATAAACCAGCCTGACTACAAGCTTGCGATATCTTTAATACCGCTGGATGGACTTAAGATGTTCCAAGCTTTTTCGCTGAGACTGTGGAATTCCATAAAATGAAAAAAAGTAGAGTTAGTGTGCTTAACGAGTAGTCTAGAAAAAAGCCACGTTATAAGCAGAGCTCTATAAGGAACTGCAATCAGACTAAGTAGACAAGGGTTTTAAAGTGTGTCCTCATTTGCCATTTAAAGGGAACAGTATTCAGCCTTATATAATTTGGTCTAAAATTTTGAACTTCATCAAAAGACAGTTATTCAAAACACAAGAAAAATCACCTTAAAACTAGAAACATGAAAGGCATACTGTATTGAATAGAACATGTATATTTACCTCATCCAGCAATTCTTCAACTTCTAGTGAATTACCACTCGGATCCATCATCTGGAAACGTACATAAATGATGGTTTAAAAGTCTTCACCCATACGTGACTACTTGCCGTCTGCATAATGCCCTTAAGAACATCAGCGTAGTTGCCTAGTTTCTGCTTAAGAGTAGGTTTGTCTTTCTTGATGTTCTTTTGCGAGGCAGAAGTTGAGGTAGATGGAGCTGTTACCTCTCCAGGTTCGGTGTTCGACGACGACGTAATGAGATGTTCCAGGGAGTCTTCTAAAAATTCAGAGTGATTATACTCAAAATACATTGAAGAAGTGAGTTAACCAACAGACCTGTGCCAAATACTTCGCGGAGCTTTTCGAACAAACTTCGTTCGGAGGAAGTTTGAAGGGCATCAGCCATCATGTCAGCGAAATTGACTTTCTCATTACTAAAAATAAATATTAAAGAAATATCGGTAACACTTCGGTACAGATCGTAAAAAACCAACGTTTCTTCTTCCTCTTCATCTTCTCCTTCTTGCTCTTCATCTTCTTCGACTGTTTTATCCATTTCGAATGTATCACTAGACTGCTGTCGCTGACGGGCTGCAGCTAGATCAGGAGCGGAGACGGACAAGCTGCAAAGGATTTTATCAGAGTCCCAACTATAAGATAGAAATTGTTACATGATCTCATAATATTGGATTTCAGGAACATGAGGGTGCTGTGAAGCAATCATCAAAAGACAGGAGAACCTATGTATATGATATTGCACAGGTGCTGAGACAACAGAGCAATCAAACGGCACAAACCTGCTCATCTTCGACGAATCCACCTGAGGAGCAGAGGGAGTTGCGCCATCACGAGGAGTGGCATCGACTACAGAAGATTGTGAGGAGCACACAGAAAGGGCAGGATGTGATCCAGCCGCACTGAAAAACTTTTATAATAGAAAGGACGCAGTGTTGGCACAAGAATAGCAAGTAAAAGGGACCTTGCAGCAGAATCGCTTTCTTCAGTCTCAGCAGCAACGGGTGTTTGATGGCCTGGTTCGGGAGTTTCAGCACCACTTTCCATGGTTTCAGCTATTCGGCCAAATTTGTGAGGATTTGCTCTACAATGGGAGTAAAATATCACTAGAGCTCTGAAAACTACCCAGTCTCAAGAGAGATGAACCGAACCTGGCAAGGAGGTTTTCCAGCGACTGCGTCTGATGCTGCAACGACTCAGCAGATGCAGCCTGACCTGTCGAAGCAACGCTCGGTCCTGCTTTTGCACGATCCTCCACGAGGTTTGTAGTGGACATTGATTTTTTGCCTTACAACAGAGCCGATCATTCAGACAACTCAAAATACAATGCAAAGCCGATCTCAGAACTAGTCTCACCAATATTGGACGAGCTAGTCGCAGTTGCATTTGACGATGACGTTGAAGGCACCTTAGCGAATCTTGACAAAGGCGTAGACACTGAAAATAAAAAGGATCTCAGGTAAAATACTAGAAGAACAAGAGGGTTAAGTCCTAGTCCTACCTCCGGATCTGCGTTGTTTTGTTGCGAACGGAGTGAAGCCGGTGAACGAGGCAAATGGTGATGAACTACCATCTCGTACACCCGTCTCTCTCGATCTTCCCATGAGACCGCGGCCTTTGGCTCGAACGGCCTCTAAGACGGAAATGGCAGGCGTTGATGTTGTGAGGGACGTGCGGCCGCTCACACGTTGAATATCAAAGCGTCCATCGGCTCCGAAACGGTACGAGTTCGTATATCCGTTGTCCCACATAACATCAACCCAACCTAAGATCAATTATTTCATATATTTGGGAATTCGTACACCACTGTTACATGTCCCAGAGCAATCAACTCACTCCAAGTCTAGCTTAGATAAACTCACCATTTTCCACACAACCCACAATTTTGCCCTCGCCGCCACCATCCTGGTCGTCCCACGACCAGTCTGGGCCACGAATGACACGCATGCCTCGAGCATCGGTCCCAACAGCTGCATGACGACCAGCGCGCGCAACACGCATACTGCAATTCCATTATTAGGAATATGGTGCTTATTTCATGCAAGAATTCACACTTCGATTATGTCAGCATGTTCTACAGTAATACCAGTGTGTGTTGGACGTGCTGCAAATCAAGGGCTGAGCTGGTTTGCACCAACGCACAACACAAATGATTTGTCTATCATATTATTGTAGGTCGCTTGTAGTATTATAGGTCAATCTTGATTAGGAAGGCAATTGGTTAATCCGACACCCTAATTCATTCAACGCACCCATCGCACTTACTTCTATGGATAGGAAAGCGCTTCAGAAATTGAAAAATGATAACAGGATAAGAAAATAGTCAAGAACCAAATTACTACAAGACTTGCCGAGATCTTGTGTGCATCATAGAGACCATATCTGCGGTCAACCCAGCCCTCAACTTGTTATTATTGGCACCTTGAGGCATAAGGGATTCGACCTTCTGAAAAGCAAAATCAAATGTCTGTGAATTCTTAGATCTATCAAAAAGCTTACCTCGTCGCGGTTTGAATCTTTTCGGGAAGATGACGGCAATGGAATCTTGGATTTACCCTGAAATACAATTAGAATGACAATTCACTCCCTAATCTTTCTCTGGCAAGTCCTCATACTCACAATAGAACAGCCGCTTCTATCCTTTTCCTCCTTAGGTACAGTGAATCCATCGATGACAACATCGACTATTTCACCATACACCTCGAAACCAGAGACACTTAGATAATACGTCTGCCCAGATGAATTCTTGCCGTTTTGCGCGATACGCAAGTACCGGAACGGTCCTAAATTTGTGAGCATTATCACGGCATGGATAAGACTGATTCACGGTAGAACATTTTTTCACCTTTTGTTCTATCGTCCTCAATCGGCCACGTCGCAGTAGATCCAGGGTCACCAAGACTTATATCATCCGAATGAGCGACAAGTACTTCCCATACTTGCTTGTCTTTCGATCCCTTCAAACCATCATAAATCTGTGTCACTCACTCGAAGTAGAAACGAGAAAATCACCTGCAGTAGCCAATTTCGTAGCGCCGACCGTCCGTAACCTCTTGCATGACGCAGCGTATAGGCCGTAGGATAGAGGAAAACACCAAGGTCAATCGTAAAGTTCGCATTCCTAAACAGGAATATAAGACTTATTCAAGAAACAAGCGAAGTACTAAAAAATATTACTAAACTAGAAGGCAGAGAAGACCAAAGCGGTGCTCAGAAAGGGAATTTAAATAGAATAGTGCCAATCATCCGGTGTGGAAAAAAAGAAAGAACCAATTCAACAATGAGTATTTTTCACTAGCCGAACTACAATGTGGTTTTATGAAGAATTTGCTGCGTTAAAAAAAAGCAAGCCACCCACCCCATAAGTCTCAAAAGACATCAAAACGAGGTGATCAAAGGAGGACAAAAAATGAATGCCATTCTGAGCAACAAAGGACTCAATAAAAAAGAAGTTCTATGGATGGAATGTAAGAAGTCTTCTCAAATAACACCTCATGCTTGAACGCGAATACCAGCTAAAACTGCTAAGACTAACTTGTCGTCGCTGGAATGGCAATTAATAGGGTTGACGTCACGGCTCAGGACATCTTCCGGTTTCCCGAACGGCTGTCGCTGATCAGATGATGTCACCTACAAATCTCACTAAATGCATACACATCGCTGAACAGCAAAGTAGGAAAAGTTGTTTCGAAACTAAAATCCCGACCATTTTCTACTGTAGGCTTCTATATGTTCATTAGGTTATTGGTTATTATTAGATATCACGCACATGATGCAAGACACCAACCTGAACAATCCCGATCGAAGCTGGATTGGTCCAGTCAGCCGCTGTTTTCCCATTTGTTCCCAGCCAGTAAATCACACCTTAGGCAATTTAGCTACAAAGCCTATATTGGAGGAAGAAAATGGCAAAGATCTACCTTGCTCATCAAAATCGCTAGTATACGTCAACCTAATACGTTCCCCAGACTTTTTCGACTCCTCAATGGCTTTTACGAAACCAAGGTTTGCGCGATCACGATCGAACCTGGAATAAAGTTATCACTAATCTCACTGCAACTGTAGCTACCGAACATACCATTGTTTCGCCACCATTTTCAGAAGGAAGGACTTCAGTTGGCCAATCGTTGTCAGTGGCTCACTTTTGAACATGCGACCACTTCTAAACACTCTAATTATTCATTCACTAAATAAAATCAGGCAATTCCATAAAAACTCGAGGAGAAACTGGAAGAACACTACCTGTTGATCAACTGCTTCTTGTCATCATGTTCACTATTTGCATGTTCGAGTTTCATACGAATTCGTCGGGACAACAACTGGAGACCAAATGCTGATCCACCTGGAGTGTCATAGAGATATTGTGGGAACTTTTCCGTGGACTCTAGTACGGAGACCATTTTCATGGCAAGGCTTGATAAAGCCATGCCGTGCGCGAACGTCTGAAAATTANCAACATTAGCGACAAGTCATACAAATGGTAGATGCTAAGAATACTCGCCTCTCCAAATATACGAGCAGGATAGCTTCCAGGTTGGCGCTCGACTAAAGCCAGCAAATTGTGCAATGCAGGAACAATACCGGACACGGAAAATTCGAAAGTCGAAAGCCGCCTATCGTCCATCACTGACTCTCGCACGCATTTCAGAGCGGATACCAACTTAAAAGGTAAGGGGTGAAAAAAAGGCGATGTGCAAGGATAAACTATCGCTCACCTCTTGAACCTTTTCGATACGCGGTTGTTTCACATGTTTGCTCTTGATGGAAATTCCAGCGATGAGGTTAGCTGTGGTCACTGCGTCCTGAATTCAAATCAACCTTTCGATTTTCAGCTATTGAGAGGAGCGTGTAGATGTTGATGAACCCAATTTAGTGCTTACCTGTATGCAAATAGCAGCCTTTTGCAATTCGATAAGCGCCTCACGCGGTTTAGCTCGTGCTTCTTTCAAATGGTTATTCCACAGTTCCCAAGCCAGCTCTTGCACCTTTCTGCGCTGAATTTCTCCTCTGAACTTGGAACGCCTCGCTGTCATACCATGAGAACTCCATCCTTAAACGTTCTTATTTAAGTATATTTCGAAAATAAGCTTGCTGCCCAGCATACCTGTATGGAATTCAGAGGAAAGCGCTGTCTCAGGCATTTGACTGTGCTTCGTCTTATCGCTGGCCTCGACGACGAATCCACCCAGCTCGTCCTTGACAACGATATGTTCCTCGCTCTTGCAGCACTTGATCGTTAGTTCAGTAGAACGTGAGCTCCACATCTCCCAACGTGGGAACTCCACCTGAACGTCATTTTCAACATCCATATAAACCTTCTATGAACGGATTGAATCTTACCTTCTTCCCCATGCAGGGTACGCATAAAATGCTGACGGGAAGTGAATCGTCATTCCACACCTGTTTGACCCTTCTCCATCTTGTCATGAAGGATTTTTTTGTTTCAGCCCGAACTTCATCAGACACGCTTTCGGCGACACCATTGTTGAACATCGTAGTTACCTCTCCATCCATAAGGAAACGGAACCATCCGTTACTGTTAAAGCTGAAACTTCCAAAAATTCTCAATACATCTTATGTTTCTATTTCTAAAATATAATAGTCAGTAACACTAATGATGTGAAGGTAAAAAACAGAGGTAAAAAGTAAAAGGCGCACCTCAGCTCCAAGGCGAGCACATCACACCAAATGAATGTGGACTCTTCACCTCGAATTACGCGCCACTCTTTCCAACGGTATGGCATGTCTTAACGGAAGAATTCGCAAAGTGTCTTTTCTGTTACAGCATTGAAGACAGTCAAATGATCTTATATGATAAAAATTTGGAAAAAAATGAATCTTTGCGTTGCGTTGGATTCGAACGACAAAGAAAAACAGAAAGTTTCTGTCCACGTACGTTCCATACGTAAGTAGTCATAAAAACGTTCAAAATACAACGAAAACTATTCTTCATTCTCTCACAGAAAAGCACAAAAACGAACCTTGCTGAAGAACCAGTTTGCCTTTGTCATTCGACGACGTGGGAACCATTAGAGTCAGAGACGAGCCCGTATTGGGTTGCACCACCTCTACAGTTGGAGGAGGCGTCTCAGTAGTAGTAATATCTTCCACCGGAAAAAGAAAACTTTGTTGTTTATGTGCGTTCAACTTAATTAAAAGCCGTAATACCTCCATCATTACATTTAACATGGCCGCACGTTCTTTTTCTACCTCATCACTAATACCAGTAGAGATGCTTCTTTCCACCACGTCCAATTCCATTGCCACCGATGGAGTGGAAGTGGTAGATCTGTATCGTAAATCAATTCATGGAACAACACCCTTTTAGACAAAGCCATTCCCTACCTGCTCATGGCACTATTTCGCGCGTTCAATTCCTCAGCTCGGTCCACATCGTCATCATCGTCCTTGAAAAAATAACGATATTTGCGCGAAACTTTTTCAGGGTTATAAAACAGCCTTACGTCGGAACTCTTTGGTGGTTCTTTGGCCATGGCCTCGACGCGCTCGAATACGCCTAGGCGGACAAGTTCAGGAACCCACAATTCCGGATCTTTCCGCAACAGAGAAGAAAGGATCTAAATGTTTTTGATTGCTGGCGACATGCGCTGTAGAACAAAAATTATCGAGAAAAATGAGAATTGCGAAAGGATTTTAGCCTATGTATCTTGAAGCGTTCTTACCAGCAACACCTGTTCTTGTCCATCATGATCCTCTTCTTGTTCAAGAACAGATACAACTACAGTAACCAGATTTTCCGCTCCTGGCGGTAAATCGGCTGCCGATGACGTTTGCATATCTTTAGAAGAACCTGCAATTAAATCGGTGGAAAACGTTCATTTATCCTTTTGCGCAAACAGAAAACACAAGGACGCCGGCCGGGTCACCTTGAGATTCTATAGCTTGGCTCGGGGCTGATCGGATGTCATCAAGTTGCATATGTTCAACGATCTTACGCAGCAGCGATAACGATGTGCGTCGTACACTTGCGGAAAGCGATTTCTGAATAAAAAATAAGGGCTTCGTCATTCGAAATGACTCAATCAGATACTGTATTGTTGAATAGAAGTTGAAAAATACCATGAAAATTTCGCAGAAAATCGGTAGCAGCTGGTGTAGAACGCGAATAGCTAGCTCACGATCAGGGAGGTCACTCGTGCTGGTTTTGCGAACAACAGAAGACTGCTTCGATTTGTTCTGCTCGTCAGACTCTAAAATGGAATAACGAGCTGATATCGCGGCTCAGCCAAGCGACAATATAAAAGCGCTCAAAATATGTCAATGCTCTTCAGAACAGTGGTAACGAGAGATATACTCCTTTGTGAACCGCCAGTATTTTTTCGAAACCTCCACATATCATCCTAATTGTTACATGATTTATAGCACAGTTATTAACTAGAAACAAATCACATGAAACTCACTGGAGTGCATATAAACCGAAGGGCTTTCAAGTATCTGAGCAACTTGAGTATGATCTTCATCCGTGCGTTCCCTTGCTTTGTCTAATGCCGTCTTCCCATCCTCGTCTCTCAAATCCGGATTTGCACCCCGTTGCAGAAGTACTTTCACTATCTAAACAAAATATCTGCGAGAAAAAAAAAACAAAAGGAAATCACTTCTCAGAAGGCTCCAAGACTCACATCAGGTCGCCCAAATGAAGCTGCGTAATGCAAGCTACTGCTCTTATGTCCTTTGTTAACATCAGCTCCCTGCATACCGCAAAGGATTAATCAACAAATGGTAACAACGATGTATTATCGAGAAGTACCTTATCGCACAAATACTGAACCATTTCTAGTGAACCAAAAGCTGAAGCCCAGTTGCACAACGTCTGTCCCACGTCATCGGTAAAGTTGACATCGACCTAATCAATTAGTGCTTAGCAAAGCCCAAAGAACATGCTTTTAATGTCCACGACCTTCAAAACAACAAAGAGCAGCATTTATCGAAAACTTACGACGCCATTGTCTATCGTATCAACCAGAGCACTAAGATCCTTTTGCCTGATGGCATCGATTAGGTGACGATGAGCACGCTCAGCACTTTGGCCGCTCTGTCCCGACTCTCCGCTTGACTGGTACTGGAAAAGCGATGCTTATGCCAAGTAGAATATATTTGAAGCATTAAGCCTTGACGCATTCACCGCAGTTGTGAAAGGAAGAGCGGATCGTCCTTCACTCAACAGTACGACCAGTAAATCTGCTAAACGAAGACCATCCGTCACACAGCGATCATCCTTGTTGGTCAGAACACACTGTAGGGCCGAAATCAGACGCGGAGAACTGCAATACCGCGTTCAAACCTAATTCCTACTATTTAGACGAATAAGTAATTTTAGTTCACCTCAACACCTGCTCTGTAACCGCAGCACTCCCTCGACAAAGATTACTAAGCAACGAGAGAACAATGGAGATGAAATTGGCAGAATGGGCAGCAGTTTCACTAGACAGTGTGGTTAGCAGGTGCTCAACCAAATTGCTGTGCGTGGCAAGCTCAGCCGGGTCAAGCATCTTGCGAATGAAACGGTCTGTAAGAGCTGCAAAGCAACGCAAAGCGCTCTCAGAAACCTAAAATGAGACCGTATTAAGAAATTCTAAAACTTCGATGATCACACCTAAAAAGAAATTGAATGACCTTATTATCCTCATGTGCAAGCAAAGCTCCAAGACTTTCAGCACACTGCGGAAGGGCAGCATCATTAGGTTCCATTTTACCACATAAACGAGTGACTACAGACATTGCAGAGTGCATTGTGTCCTGCGAAAAAGTTCATAAACGAAAAAAGAAAGATAAAAATTTCTTTTTTTATAACCCCACAACACTGCCCTGACCTTCCCACCCAAATTCCTTCTTCACCGTCATCTATTCAGCCTTTCAAAGTTTATGAGTTGTTTAATTGCAATTGTAGCTGTCTATGAAATGTTTGGTACTAGCTTTTCAAACAGTTCGTAAACAGTTTCTATTATGAACTGTTAGGGAAGCTAGCCATTATTTTTTGAAGCAGTTCTTTTCTGAGTAGATACCAGTGAGAGACCAACTGAGTGCTGAAAACTTCAGCAGAGACGAACCTTATGGACTTGTGAACCATGTTGTCGAACTAGCGTAAGCATGGCATGCATACCACCTGCATCATAGACGGCAAGCGTTTCACGTTGACAAATGTGCTCAAGAAGTTTAACACATTGCTCAGCTGGAAATAAGCAGCTTTGTAAATTATAAGTGATTACGGTTTGAAAAATCTAAGTTTCAAAGCTCTTGACGAACCTAAATCTTTACTTGTCCTATCTGTCATTTCAGCAGCGGCAAGCCGACTACATATTGCTTTAACAGCTCCGTCCACTTGTATTATTCTTCGGGTGCATTCGTTGGAAACATCAAGATAGTAGGTAATAGCACGGGCGGTGACCTGAAAGAAAGGGTTGAGCCCGAACTGCAGCAAGATTACCAATAATTCTTTATGAAGTAGCGACTCATTAAGGTAGCGAATATTCTTCATGTTTCACTACACCCTTTTTCATTTATTTTTTCCTTTGTTAACAGCCAGAACTTGCTATTTATTTCTCGAAGCCTTCACAATTCAAAAAAGTCTTGTCACGAGCACGTGTACCGAAGTATGACGCAATGGCAGCACCTCCATCATAAATTTTATTTCAAACTCCATTTTTTTATTCGTGTAAGCAAACGGTTTTTTAAAAAATACGCGGTAGCCTCCGATTTGAGGCTGCTATTTTCCCTTCGCCCTTTTATTCCTAATCAGCTATAACTGAAGTTTTACTCTTCATCGACCTTCCCGCACTACCACTGATATTGTCATGGGGAAAACTTGTGCGATTTGTGACCTAATTATAGGTCTCTACTTGAGCCTTATTACAGTGTGCGAACCTCAAGAACAGCTTCTGTAGCAGTTTCATCCAAAAAGATTTTGCACAAAGCAGGAAGGAACGTTCGCGGAGGGCATGATTCAAAGCATCGATCGATATTGTCAGACATAAGCAGCAACATGCACAGCTGCTCAAGAGCCATCATCTGAAACAGCGTTCACAGAAATCATGAAGCTCAAAGCACCATCAACACAATGTGTGATCGAATCGAAAAGAAAATAAATCAAACCTGACCAGAATGGTTTTGGTTTCTAACACAATTCTACCCCACAAAGTTCTAACCAATGTCTTCTGTGCAGGTTAGGATCAATTGTGCCGGCTTATCTGTATTTTTTTACCTACTAGTTGTTTCTTCACAGTCAGAATTGTTGAAAAAATTAATGAGAAGCAGTTCAACCAGCTATTCGCAGAAATCACTCAAAAGTCAAAAGTACATCCCACTGAAAATGGTTCCACTGTTTCCCTCAACGCCTGCTGATTGCAGCATCAAGTATTGACAAACAAACGCACTAATTTAAGAATGACAGCCCAAGCGTATTCGTTACATTTTATACTATCAGTCGATAGCAAGTCTTCAGTTGCTTTGCAGTTTGACACCAAACAATAATTGAAATAGGAAAAACTGAATACCTGGAGATCCCTTTCGTCTCCAATACCCGTTTGAAGCCATTCCAGCAGAACGTCCGGATCAATTCCATCCATAATGGACGTGCCACTTCAACTATGAGAACCCACTCCTATCCTTCCTGAAGTTGAGCTCGTCTATCAACGAATCGTACTGAAGGAATCACGAATGATTCTTCAGAGAATAAACGACATTAAATCCTTTGCTAACTGATAAGACCACCATGTCAACTAATCGATACCAGAACCAGAAAATAAAGCAACCAAGCAGAAGGGCAGAAATAGAAAAAAAAGCACTGGATAACTGGAAGCAATGTGATGCTCTCGAGATAACGATCACTAACGGAACCATTAACCTTCTGTCTACTCAATCACAAATATATTTACATATGATTATGAGAACTACACGAGGATTGCTCAAAGTCATCGTCTCGGAATTGCAGCGGAGTTGATAGCTAAGTGAATTTCACGAGGATATCCCGACCATTCAACAACACAACATCACAATTAAATGAATAATAGTAGAGATAATAAATAAAAAAGCCAAACTTTTGAGGTATTTTGAACCTATAAATCCAGATAGCTTTTGCTAAAAAGAAACAAGACGAAACATCGTACCCGAACACTAAAATTCTAAATCTCAGCACTTATATGTAAAGCAAAACATTGAACTGTACTGAAAATTTTCAAAAAGTAACCCAATGCGAAGCTGCTGCGAGCGAAGGACCTAGGCAGTGGTATTATGAAACTCCGGGTACGGGGCAACCTTGAAAGGGACTTTGACCTAGTAGGAGGAAATGTAGGTTCTTTTGACCTTCTAAATTTTCCTGAAAGCATAAGGACAGGGCAAATGTTTAACCATCAACTTCATAAGCGCATAAACCCCTTAGAAAAGAGTAGATCGGGTCGAGGCCACACGCTGCGCAACCTGTAACGCATCGTGACTAAGCCCGCAGCCAAGAGGGATTTCGTATCAGGTTTCCAAAGTGTGGCACAGAAACTCACTAAAACATTCCTCGTAACTCGGCAAAGGAATCCGAAAGAACCCAAAGACAAGGCTTCACCAACGTAAGGAGAACAGAGGTAATTATGCATGCAAATCATCGCTGCATATTGATCGAAAATGAATGTGGGACATATGTTCGAATCGATTGAATTATTTAAACCTCTTATGAAAATAAAAAACACCTGCAGTCTCACGCGACGGCCTGGGAATTCGTCAAAACAATAAACAACAGCCTCACTACACGACTCCGGAGCTGAAATCTTATCAGCCCATGGAGGTCCGGATTTGAGAACCGAGGTCAACAGGGGTGAAATCTCGAAAGGGTTGCTTCGAGAATGTTCGGCACCGAACTCGCGAAATGATCAGTCATCACTGGTGATGGTGGGCGATGATGCTTGGTCAGGACCTAATGGGTCGAAACACGTCGCAGGTCGTTTTTGTCCCGTTCAACCAAGCTTTCCCAACAGCTTTCAAGAGCTACTTCTTCCAGGGTAATGGATAACCTCCATGTTCATCTTCACGAGAACGAAGAGAAACTTCCTGAAGGCGATCTCCTCAAACACCTTTGTGCAGTAGCCTGGTAAATTCATCCACTTCGAGACTGCTTTTGACTTGGAAGCGAGCTCGCAGCCAGTTGGGAACTAAATGCAGGCCTCATGGGGATTGTACTGAACAAGTAGTACTCCAGGAACCTGAATAACACCAAAAGCAGTAATCAGCTGACGCAGACGCGACGCACGAGCGACAATCGACCGCCTGAGATCGAGGGACGCAGACAGTGAAGAGCTCCACGGCCCTGACTTCTCTACCCTCTGCACGGCGCCCGCCCCGTAGTTGCTTTGCCAAGGTGAACCCTTGACTCGATGGCGAGCGCCTTTTGTCGAGATGGGGGACGTGGCGAGGGAGTAATGATGTAATGCTCTTCTGAGAACACGCACATCGAGTTGCTTGATAGCTGAAATCAGAGAGGTTTCCAAATTAGCGATTTTGTGGGAGGTTCTTTGAAATAATCTTTACTAAACACTGATACACAAAACCTGTGGCTACGGGAAAAGGCATGGATAGAAACGAGGTCACTCATGAAAAATTGTTGCTCCGAAAGTCAAAAGAACTACTGAAAACCTTTCTAAGGTGAGTTTTCCTTTACAAAATAGGGCCTGAAGAAGAAACTCAAATCCCCCAACCCATCGCTAATGTATACTTGAGATGATCGTAAGTATATCCCATTCACACGGCTATTTTGTAGAGGAACTTAGTCAACTCGGATGTACTGGTGTCCCCCTGTTACTGATGTGTTTTATCTGATAATTCATTACTCTTCAATTCTCTTGAACTCCACGAAATAAACCCCGTTTTCTGATCTGATCTCCTTTCTTTCCCTCAAAAATTGCTCTGACGTAAACACATTGGCCATGTGTATTGGAAACGGGAATTCGACAAAAGGATCTCAACTCAAGATCGTGAAGTGGCGGATTTCAGACTTCGGCATCACTAATACATAAGGTCGTCCCACGTTGTTTTGTCAAAGTGCAAAAATTCATGTAAAAGTGCAGTGAATGGTCCTTTGGTAGAACCAAGGAAATTCTTAATCACGAGTACTGCAATGTTATGCTCCCACACGTACCTGCCTGCTAGGCACATTTAAAACTAGTTCTTCAACATTAAGGACTTCTGCAATGAACTAATGTCAAGATGATTTGATTATTTCAATTTCTACATGGTAATGCGACTCGAAAATCGACTCACAAATGAATAAATTATGGCGTGAGCATACGGTCGCTTTTTGAAGTACGCAACTGCACTAGTAGTTTATCCAAGTGCTTATATGGAATGTTTTTTCGTACTATTGTAATTGCAATGACAAGGAGGAGGTTCATATCAGATGGCCAAACCAAATAAAAAAGGCGAAGCAAATTGCAGATAAAATTGGAAGCAAGGTAAAGGTTTTGATCACATATTTGCATCATATAAATTTTGTGGAAAGAAAATATTACAAAAACTGCTTAATGGCTGCCGAGAACTATATTTCAGCCTAACTTCACCCACCTGAGACATTTCTATTGGTAGATTAATCGCCGCGTGAAGAAAGATCACAGGCAGAATAATCGGGTTCGGTTTGACTCAAATGAAAATATGAATTGTCCCTCTACCCCATCAATAAGCTTCTTAAGTAACCGATCCGATTTCATCGAGTTCTCCGTAATCAGCCGATAACGGATTCACAAATTAAAGATTCTTTCAAAAAGGCAGTGATTGTGGTAAATAAAAGGTAGGTTGTTATGTTGTAGAACCTATAAGGTCCTTTCTACCGTCAATCAACTTGCGTTCAACCATACATGATAAAACGAAGACGGTGAGCAGCTCGCTGCAACTTAGCCGAGTATGAACAAACAACATACGGGCCACAACGCGTTCAGATTTGGAATTTGAACAGTGTTTCTGATGAATGCGCATATAAACAGGCATATATTCTGCTCAGATAAGGTCGGTCATAAGATAAATCATTCTTTGATTTCATGGCTTTCGAAAACATAAGTTATTGGTTTCTCTGATCTCCAAGACGAGTTTCAAGTTGGACAGAATCCCGTCGTACCTCACTGTTAATAGAGAAAAAAAGTTCGTATAATAAGCTGAAGCGGATAAAGTTCAAAGGAACGAAGGAGAAATGAGGAGGAATTCCTAGGGGATGTAGGCCGAATATTGCTTTTGACACGTGACCTTGACGCTCAGGCGTTTTCTACTTCATCGCTTTACAGCGGAGCTTTTTCTAAATTCTAATGCGTACAACAGAACAAAGCCATTACATTCAACAATGATCCTTACGTCAAAGCAGCGAATAAAGTCCAAACAGCAAGAAAAACCAATTAGAAATGAATGACATTTGGAATGATCTCAAACTAATCAGAGTTTCAATGGAGCGCGCAATTATGCCTGGAGCGCGAAATAGTTCGGGTTAGCATTGTTCCAAGCCAGTCGGCTGTGTGGGACTCATCTTTTTAAATCTTCCTTTCCAGGCGATTTTCTCCGAGAATCCTTGAACATATAAGGCTGGTTTTGGGGAATGTAACTGGGAGATGATTAAGTTCATGGGGACGTGCGCATTTTGAACTACAAAATATTCTATAATACTGTTTATTAAGGTAGGCAGGTCTGGAAATTTCTTCTCGGGCCATTGTCGCTAGTCCAGCGCTGGGCAGAACGTCTGGCGTCTGGGGTGTCGGAGTATGGACACCTAAACGAGCTCTTCTCCCGCAGAGGCTCTTTTTGGATATTCATTCTTCTCAATATGGCCAAATTATTTGTATTCAGATTGACCGTAGGCTGGAGATGGAAGGAATGACAAGCGATTGGAAGTCAAAAGATTTATTAAATTACAACCACGAGAGTCAACAATCAACACAATCAACACAGCGGAAGTAAAAAAAAATAATTTGAATAATATACAGTGAATAAGTTAATTTTGGTCGAAAAATCTGGGTTGGTTCAGGCTGGGGGGTAATGGACTGGGAAGGTATCAACATATCATCACATAACACTGGTCATGTGCTCGACAACTATCGTTCATAATTCATCCTTTTTGATGAGTTTCTCCAAGGTGATTTCGAAGTAAAGATTGGATTTGCCAGGAATCTGTGGTGGCCGTCCTTCATCACCGTATCCTGAAATGACCGTCTGACTGTTTAACCGTTCCTCTCCTTAGTAAAACGAACTCTCTTACCGTAATCTGATGGGATAATTACGAGACGTCTTTCTCCCTCACACATACCAGTCATGGCGATGTCCATTCCTTTGATGACTTCCTAAAAAGGTAACAAGTAAGAAGTGTAGTGGGGAGGCTGGAAGACTGGCAGTACCCCTTTGTTGAGCCGGAAAATGAAAGGAGCATTTCGTGAGAAAGACGAATCGACGAAGGTGCCATCTTCGAGGTGGAGCACGTACTGTTGGTGGATGGTGTCACCGGTTTCTGACTTTCGGCACTTATCATCGTCGATTTTGTGGGTTACCTTGAAAAACAAATATAACTTCCATCTAGCTTTATGCTAGCGATTAATCTATCCGCACCTGGCACAGCCGATCAAAGCAACAGCATTACCTAGCAGCTACTAGCTTCACTTCACCTACTTTACACTCACTTCCTCAGAGAAATCCCCAGTTTCTCATTTGTCAACAGAAAAGAATGGAAAGAATCTTATGCATCCTATGCAGGGAGAAAAAAACCTTTGTGCACTTTTCCTTGATCTTGTCTTAGTCAGAGTTTCATGCTTGGACATTTAACATCTATCTAATTCCCAGCGATTTTAAAACTTTCATAATCTACCCTTCTTCATTGTTGTACTCACGTTTTTTTTGACTCAGTCCCTCATTATGTACCCGAACTTCACAATCACATAACCTTTTATGCTTGCCTTACTATAAAATGTAGAAAAGTGTTTACTTTCCCGGGCGGGGGTGGAGTCTGTCAGTTTGAATGTGTCTGTGGGTGGGACTAGGATCATGGTGAGGCGCAACATGTTCGGAATGCGTATTCTGCTCCAGCAGCACCAACTCACGTCAGCAAGCTCTACATGCAAATAAAAAAAACTTCCGGTAATTCCCATCACAAAACCAAATGGGTAACGCAGAATGAATTCTTACTCCTACGGTTCGGCTCTATGTGGAATCTTACATTAACGGAATGTAATGGATGACAAAAGGGGGATAAGGTTGCCATTGGATCTAATGCGAAGGCTGTCACTTTTTAAAATCCACTAAGAGATTTGTTGGGATGGCTGGGTTGTGTGCATACCTATAGATAATGCGTGAGTGCCCAGTCAAGCTCTACAAAAGAGTTCCGGTCAGAACTGCATAGCAATTATTGAATCCTGTCGTAAGCCACACGTTAACCAGTTTCACGAGAACTCCTTTCGGTTTTTGCTACGCATCACTACCTTTCGGCAAGAGATGGAGTCAGAAAAACCGTCTCACATGGATTGCAAACTTTATTGTAAGATGGAACAGGTAAAAAACCTACCTCAATTGTAATGCCTTCGGGTGTTTCCCACTTGTCACCAGGATTCGCCCGGAAGATATCGACCAACTGCACGGTGTAGTAGAGGGTTTGGTCCTTAGCAATGTTGTCTCTGAAATAAGAAAAACCTCCCATGAGAAATACCCAGCAGATTTAGAAACGAACGCGGTTGAGCCAGAAATGCCTGCCTACCCATACTCAAAATTATACCGTACCTATCTCTACCATCATTGCCGAAGCCCAATTTTCCAGGAATCACGACTTTTCTCTTTTCACCGATGCACATGCCGGTCATTGCACGATCCATTCCGGGGATAACTTGACCCTTTCCCAAGGTGAACGTGTACCTGCAAAAAGTTAAGAGGCAATCTTATGCAATGCAGTTGAATGGCCAAGGCGGTCTCACTAACGGTTTCTTGCCGAAATTGCTGCCAATTTCTTTGCCGTCCTTGTCGGTAAGTCTGTAGTATTGGTCGACTACGTCACCCTCTTGTGATACCATCTTGCATTTCTCTTTTTTAATGGGCTTCACTATCTTTATCTCCAGGCCGTCTTCATCCTAAAGTGAGATTACTGTGAACTGTAGCTCTCAGACAGAATTAATTTATAGAGGTGATACGGTAGAATGTTGGTGATCCTAGCAAATTCACCTAATATATGTACCTAGCAAAGTAAACCGAAAGATTGATGGGACGTTTTCTTGGGGTAGACGTAAGAACGAGTCTTACCAGATGCCAGTATAAGGCAGGACCGATTCTGGTCTATTCCTTTACTGACGCACACAATAGACAAACCTTCCAGGAGAGTTTCTGCTCTTCGGCTGCACTTGCTAACCCTGCCACCAGTATTAAAGAGAAGATGAGAAGCATAACTGGAATGGAATGATTAAGGAATGTATTGATGACCAGGAATGGAATGGCATCAGGTATGTAATGATGTGAAGGAACAGGCCGGTACGGCGTTCGATGTATCACAAACACTTCCCAGACGGAATGAGAAAGGAGAAAAGTCGAGAGAATGCCGAGGGAAACATCAATGCGATTGTGTTGTGGAGCGCTCGACCACGTCGATGACAGTGAAAAGTGTATAGAAGTGTTTCAAGAATTCCAGTTTTCTCATCGGTAGTTCCAACGCCGCGACCGCCCTTTGCGCCGGCCGTTCTGCCTCTCATCAGAAATGATGAAAAGTGTGTGTGAAGCGGAACCACTGCAAAACCTTAAAAGAGTTGTAATTCCTCATTTGAATTAACATCGAGAAATGTGTGCAGTTTCTGGAAAACGTGGTTGTTCCCCGCCCTGTGCTAATCATACAATTGAATTGATGGTGAACAGTTTGGGGTTCTCATTACCCAAAAAAGCAACGAATCTATTACCTCTGTAAGGCCGATTAGAGTACCACTACCGAGCGCATCTATAAAAGGAAACTTTCAGAACCTCCTTAGGTGCGGGAGCATTACCCCTCGGGCGAGACCTAACGACGCTTGTGTTTCAGCACACTTGCAAGAGCAGGCTGCCCTGTCACAGACCCGTTTGGCTCGGTAAGATACACCTAAGAACTGGCTACAGCAAGGTATGCGGCGTCAGGTCGGGTTTCTTTGGCAACGGGAATGTGCTGAAATATCCTTGAAAAACTTTGTAGAATGTTCACAGCGTTACTATTCCCTGTCCGTGGAGGTTTCCAGTTGGGACATTTTTAGAAGAATCTGGTGGTTACAATGAAACACTCGATATGGGTGATTACCAAAGAGTTGTGTCCCTAATCCTTTCCACCCATGATATAAATTCGAGTCTGCTGTTCGCCTACCTCCAAGGAACGCGTGGCCAGTTGCTGGAAAGTCCAGTTGCTGTCAAGAATGCCAGATGGGGTTGCTGCAGAATGAGATTCGAAGATGAGACAAGCGTTAAGCGGAGTCAGCCTACACTGGCCAGGTGGCCGGTTTTGTGTCGCACCCAGCCGTTGGGGATAGAGATCTAGGGAGTCTACAAGGGGACGGTAACATCCCTTAGTGATTGTAGTAGCTCTTGCAGTTGAAATATATAATTTAATGAAAGCAAAGGCCAAATATCTTGTCAGCACACTTTTCCGTCGTGTCAAGCATTCCCTCATACCTCTCGGTGAAATTCGAAGACGTGAGTTCTTACAGCAGTGGAAGGGGCTTCAAGCTCATTGAGACTCACTAAAAATGGCAAAGCTCCCAACACCTGCACTGGATTACAAAGGTTTTGAATTAATTCCGGGCTTACGAAATATTTTAGAGAAGCCATTCGATGTCTTCACTGAAGAATTTACACTTTTGGCTCAAGCACCTGTATGTATGGATCGGAAACTTCCAACGTTTTCAAGTACTAACTGAACTAATACAAATTAGTGGATTTTCCTGGAAGAATGGCTCGAATAGAAACCGGTTCCGATTCCTGGGAAAGAGCATGCTAGCGACGCCTCTTGCATCGACCCACTTTTGCCCATTCCAACCTTCCGATCGGTCATGAATTAAGAAACTCTAATTTCTTCTCTCTGGAATTGGAGCCACGAAAAGAGTTATACTTAACTGTATATATTTAAAAGTAACGGACGACATTCCGCAACTGTAAGGTTTAGCCTATAAAATTCTCGAACTAGCGATCAGCAGAAAACGGACCGTAGCATTCAGTCACTATACTACAAATACCATTGGATCAAGAACTTCTGTGAATGTAAGAACAACATAAACCAGCAAAAGTGGCTGGAAGAGGAAAGGACTAAAAAGAGAAGAAGTTTAGAGTCATTTCTACCACGGAATCTAAAGACGGAGGCTTAACTTAATGAGCAGCTACTGATTGTGAGAAATAAATCCGTGGAAGAAACCCCTTGCAGCCCCCATCAGAAAAAACCGGATTGACGTAGCGGAGCCGTCTGAGAGTACAACAATTCGGTCAAGGATGATTATTAGAGGCGCCACGGGTGATGTTCGGAGGCGCAGTTGCTGCTGCTGCAGAGTGGGAGACCGGTCGTTCGATTATCGATCCAATGCTTAGAGAAGAGTATGGTGAAGAAAACGACAGACAGGTCGATGCTTCGTGGAGCGTAGCGTAATGGCTGTAAAGTGACCCGTATGGTGGATCTGGTCTTCCTTGGCTATGCTATCCCGCCTCCAAGTTGGTCGCTTCTCAACAGCGCACATTTGGGTAAAAACCACAATCTGTTGCTCATCAGAAGTAACATGGACGATCTTGAAATACGAAAGGTTGTATAACTGAGTTCGATAAGATTTACGAGTGCAGCAAAAAGCACTTGGCGATCAAGAGAATCGAGAGGGAGACCAGTTAGAATAACTGGGGAAGCTGAATGAGATCGACATTGAGCAGAAGAACTGGTATGTTCAAGTGGGGACCTCAAACCATACTCATAATGTTTTTGTAAGCTAGGCAGAATCTCAAAATTGAAGGCCCGACGCTCCCCTTCGGACTGGTGCAAGAGGAATACTCTAATTTAAAAGAGAGCAAGTTTTCGCATAACGGTATTAGCAGGAGAAATGCGGCCTAGTTTCCCTCTTGATTCTCTTATGGCTTCGGGATTGGCCTCTGAATGCAGGATCGGTTTGCAGACAAATTTGCCCATGCCCAAGGGTCAATAAGGATGACCAAACATAGTTTGGAGAACCCCATCAACCAGGGAACGACACAGCTTTCAAAAAACCTAATCCTATCGAAAAATAACTCATAAGTAGCTAGTCAAAGAGCGTGCTAAACTGTACCGTACCCTAGTATTTCTCCTTATCAGAGACTCTAATGTCCCTTTTGTAATGGAATGTGAACCACGTTTAGATCATCGTCAGTATGAACAACTAATTGCTTTTGACTATCAGCGCGCTAAACTAGTTATCCATCAAATTGGTTTGGAACGTCCTCCATGAAAATGCTTCAAGTCGCGGAGGCACAGGAAGACAGACTGTTTTCGAACTGCGTTCTACCCAGGGTTGCGTTTTACACAGAGTTGTAAGAAAAGTTGTCTGTGCATACAGCTTTACCATTTTTCTGTGTGTCCTGACCACTTCAGTGTTTCCATGCTGTCAGACAAGTTTGGCAACCGTTCATTGCCTATTATGAGACTAGATGCCTGACTGGTCTAGATAAGTTCCGAACAGAGAGCGGTAAGGTTTCATACGAGCTTCGAATCGCTAAGGCTTTTCTGAAGGAGGAAAACCAAGTACCGAGTGGCATAGTCCAGATATCGACTCCAGACCAATACCTTTCATTCCTCCAGAGTCTTTGGATTGGTATCACACTCTTATGGGAGGAATAAGAGCACTGACTTGCACATCGGCATGCTACCGTAAGCCATTGTATAGGCCACATTCACAATCAAGACTTTCATTACGATTCTTGAATGGAAGTTTAATGCAAGGCTCATCCTCTGGAGGGAGCGATGAATGCTGAGACCTTTTTCGTTTCATCTACATGCTTTCAAAAAATTCAAAGAAGGTATCGAAAAGATTTCTTCCGAGAGATATCATTACAGATTTCATGGAACGATTTTATAACAGAATCCAAACAGTTTTTCCTGGACAGCGCAGATCATCAATAAACGGTTTTTTGAACTGTGAAGAATTCTTTTTTGACTATACTTTACTTTTTCTAAATTATATAGTAATACAATCACACACACACGTTAACGGTCATCAATAAAGTCGAAAGTGAACTAATGGAATAGACTAAACACATATAGTTAGGGTGCAAAATGAATGAGGTAAGTGTTCAGAGGTAGAAAATCAGAGATCGCTCATCCGATCCGTCCCATATCGAGTGTTTATAGTTCATCCTTCTTGATCAACTTCTCAAGGATGATATCGAAAATGAGCTTGGCTTTACCGGGGATTTGAGGAAGTCGTCCTTCGTCACCATAGCCTGTAAAGCAGAAGCTTGAAGAAAAGCTCATCGAATTGAAGATCTACAGAATTATATATATTGTCTACAGTATCCATAATAAATCTAGTCAGATATAGCCACAGAGCTGGTTCCCCCCATAATGAAGCTAGTTTGCATACCGTAATCGGAGGGGATAACAACGTGGCGGCGTTCTCCTTCACACATGTCGGTCATTGCAATATCCATTCCCTTTATGACTTTCTGAAAGAAGGAGCTCATGGATGGTAGAGTACAGAGCAAAAGCTGAATCTTACTCCTTGGTTGAGTTGGAAAATGTATGGCTGGCTGCGTGAGAAGGACGAATCGACGAAAGTGCCGTTCTCAAGATGGAGCTCGTACTGCTGGTGGATGGTGTCTCCGGTCTCGGACTTACGGCATTTGTCATCATCGATTTTGTGCGTCACCTGAATTTAAAGGATACTTTTGTTGGTTTACAGAGCTCATCTTGGGGCAGATCTATTCACTCTCAAAATCTTCCCAGTGAAAGTCCAAGTCACCGCATTGGAAAGTAACCGCTTCGAGATTACTAGGAAACGAAAGCTCGTTTTTTCGGAGGATGAGGGAAAATCTTTTCACTAACACACGGTCTTGGAAGTACGGAATTTCATCTCGAGGAACATCTGGTGAGTAAGAGTTATGTGGTGAAAATGCAGAGGACTGGTAGCTGTCAATTAGCAAAAAAAAACCAGAGGACAGTAGATATCAACTCCTTCTTAATGAATTTGCGGCCCGGGTCACCAGTTTACATTTCCATTACACCGATTTCGTCAAAGCAGTTATCGTGAGATGATCTGTAGAAACATTTCAGACGTTCGCTTCGGAAATAAATGGTTCTGGGCAACTTGGAGGGCCGTGTTGCACCATTATAATGAAACATACTGCCTCGGTAATTTAACCTTGCTAGGGAAGGATGTTGGCGAAAATTGTTGGATGATGTCCTCACCTCAATAGAAATACCCTCATCGGTTACCCATTTTTTGCCAGCTACCGGTTTGAAGATATCGACCAACTGCACAGTGTAGTACAGTGTCTGATCCTTGGCGATATTATCTCTGAAACAGGAGATATGGGTCAATACCTATCAAATACATACTCAGTGGAGCAGTACTGAGAGAGCAGGAATTTTTAGTTATGGATAAAGCCCTTCTTGGAGGCTTTCCAACTCACCTTTCTCTTCCACCGTCACCAAAGCCAAGTTTTCCGGGGATGACGATCTTTCTTTTCTCTCCGATACACATGCCAGTCATAGCACGATCCATTCCAGCTATGACTTGATTTTTACCCAAGGTGAAGGTATACCTGGAAATCATATGACTTGAAGTGTTATGAACACCCCGTAGAAAGTTCTCCGATGCAAAACTGACGGTTTTTTGCCGAAATTGCTGCCGATTTCCTTGCCGTCCTTGTCGGTCAGTCGATAGAACTGCAGGACTTCGTCACCAGGCTTTGAGACTACGGTACATTTCTCCTTGTTAATGGGCTTCACGATCTTTACCTCCAGACCATCATCGTCCTAAAGCTTGGAATAGTTATCTCTAGTAAATCCAAGTTTGATGGCATATTTTTAACGCTTCCTTCTGGGATAACTGGCTGAAAATCTCTTTCAGCTCTCATATACGTCTACATATATGGAGTATGGAAGCTTACCAGATCCCATCATAAGGTAGTATCATCATTTTCTTATTGCTCCCTTTTCGCAACACATCACCAACCTTCCAGGATAGTTTCTGTTCCTCTGCTTCCTTCGCATTCACTAAGCCGGCGACAGCTATCAACAAAACGACAAAAAGCATACCTAAAAGTGAGACAGCTAAGTTTCGGAAAAGCCCTATTAGAACACGGAAAACCCTCGAATCAGAATGGGAATAATTCAACGATAGCGGAAAGAAAGGAGTTGCGGCAACTCAGGAGCCAATGAGAACAGGGAATGGTTCGAAGTTCTAGGAGAATTACAGTTTTGTCGCGGTCGCTCACGAGGTCGACCGCCCCTGTACGGCAGTTCCTGTTCCTTTGAGAAATTGATGATGCAAGAAGAAAGAGGGAAACAGTGGCGCTTCTCGTTTCCCATGATTCTACAAATACCTGGGCGCCTAAGGAACGACCCATTCCAAGATGTGCTGAACAATGACCATATTCATGATACACAGTGGCAGTCGTCGAAGAATTATTGCCTTCACCCTTCGATCTCACAATCAGGTGCGATTGACTGCTTCCCATTTCCTCAAACCGCACCACCTCAACCACCTGGGTAGCTCCTGTGAGGTCGGTTTAAGGCCTTTTACAACATCCGCTTCCGGATCATGGGTTGATGACGACGCTATTGACAGTAAGTCAATCGCTCTCTTTTTATGAACTGACAGAACTCGTAGAAGCTCGTGGTGGCTAATGAAAAAGACAAGACACTCGACGTGGACAAAACCGTTTTAGACAAAGATTTTATGTGATGGAAACCCAGAGGAAAAACCTGCTCAAAAGGTAGAGAAGTTAGAAAGTTCTGAAACGTCCCAATAAGAAACAATCAAGGGATACCTCAGAGAAAGTACTCGTAAAGCAAAGAAATGAGGACGAAATAAATACATTGCTTTCAATAGGAAAAAGAACAAGAAAGCAGACACTTAGGGAGCCGAGACCGCCAGAAATGGGTCAAGGCTGGCCAAGAAATCGCTGACGTAGGCTATCCCCAACATCGATCAATTGCTGGAGTGACGAAGCAAAGGCAACTGGTCATTGGCGATTTGGAGGATGAATGAATGAATGGTCTTGGAGTGTAAAGTGACCAGTCGGGGGATCCAGTTCTCCTCAGCTCCGCCTTCCCTGATTCGGCTACAAACCCCAAACCAAAACCCAAGAAAAATCAAGGGGATGGTCTGGGAGAGAATGGAAGCAAAAGCATCTTGAGTTCTCCTTCCATAGCCATGCAGAGAGAGAAAATTGCTGTCAGATCTGAAAGAAAAACATCAGAGGACCGAGGTTACCAATTCATCTACTGCAGTTCTTATTCATGCAGAAGGCCAAGGAACAGGAAACTGGAAACGTGGGCCTAGCCAGGTGGCCTCCGATTGAGTCTTTTCCAAAACTTTTTGGGTCTCCATTTTTCCAATGGCCTCTGATTGACTTCGAACATTCCTAAAGAACAATTAAAACAAACCTCGTCCATAACCTTCACAGTTTCATGCTAGGTAATGGACATTTCAATCCGATAGGCATCAAAATACTTTCACAATTGCCTGGGTATTCCTAGCCCCACAATGGCATGTAAAAANAAAAACTAATTAGTTCAAAAAATAGAGCGTTCAACACGTGTGTGGCTTGTGATCCATGGGCGCCTTCTCGGACCATACTAACATCAGACCATGAGGTTTCACTCACCTTGCAGTTATTCTTTCTTGATTCTTCCTTTGAAAGCGTCATGACTTGGTAGGTACGTGGGTTGCACTGCCTTACTGGGAGTTGGCTAAACCGTTAGTAATGAGTAGGTAATAGAAGAGAAGCCTTGGAGCGTTACCAGATCGAAAAGTCATCTTCAAACAGGTATCGACACCACTGGGAATCTATTGTAAAGTGTTGAACGTTTTGATTTTTCAATGAAATCGATTTCAGAGAGGTCGTCGTTCAGTTGAAGAACCTGCCTGTTGTCGTCGCCGAGACTGGTTGATTCACGCTAATTTACGCTCATCGCTCTGTTGTCTTTCAAACTTCTTGAACGATTCCTACCATGTAGTCTTTCGGTCTTCCTTTTCCTCAATCTCTTTCATGCCATAACTGGCGAGAAGGTCGTAAACCCAACTCGTTCGGCCTCAGTCAAGATAACACTCGCAATCTCCATAGAGGTAGATTTTCTCCTCAGCCGAAAAGCTGGGTATTTTTCTGAGAGTTATATAGGAGCTTCTGCATCTCCTGCGGCTCTAGAGCTACTCCTACAGCTTTTATGTGGCCTGTGGTTGCGTGGCCAGTTGTACCGTTCGCTATCGACCCAAGCAAATCCATAAACTAACGACTTCTGTATAAACTAGAATGAGTAGGGACTTTTGGTTAAGAGATTAGCAGAAGATCAGTCGTTTGGCATCAGAAGTCACTGCAAATGCTACTGACTTCTCTCCACTGGGTGAGAGATGCACACCGTCGAGCCCTGAGATTGCATGTCCTAAGCTTTCAAAGCAAACACTTAAGTTGATCTGACAACTAATAGGAATGCTACAGACACCTGCTCCTGCTCAGCCTAGACATTTTCAATCTCACAAATCCCTACTTTTTTCATATTCCATTGTATGGATGCCTCCCACTGATATATTCCTGAATAGCAACGTCGTGATGAGCTTTCTTTGATTCATTCAGGATCAACCTTTGAAGGGATGTTACGGTATGATGTACGGTAGCCAAGCAAGGTAGTGAAGTTGTTCTAACCATGCTGATTTTTTCGATCGTTTTTCATTTCTACTGCACAGTTTATTCTGCGGAGGGCCATTCAACAACAGGTAGGGATTGATTTTAGACCAGCGTTTTCTTTGACCGGATTGATTGAACGATTCAAGAACTTGCTAAAGTACCACTTTGCGAACTGGATAACCATTTTACAAAGAATAGTGATATGGTGTACCTGGTGTAGACGAGGGAACCAGATTAGACATAGGCTAGGGTAAAGAGTCCCGAATTACCTGAGATGGACTCGATTTCAGAGAGTACCAAGAATGTTCAGTTTCAACCCCCTTTTCACCGAATGGTCTACCTGATATAGACTCATCTCCTAGCCTCATTTCGTTTCATTTTTATCCGGCGCCGTCTTTAATGGTGAAGTGTAAGCATGGAGAGCCAAGGGGACTTGTCATCGAGCTATTTCCTTCCTAAAGGAACACTGTGATGTGAAGAAGAAGGAAATGATTCGATCTCTGCTCAGGGTAGAAGTAGAAATGTGCATCAATACTTCACCGTCAATTTTTTTTGCTGTTTTCCATTCAGGTGACTCGCTGTCTTCAAAGCCACAGAGTGAGGATAGCTCCCACGTGCTGTTTCGTCGTTCACTCAAAGAAAATGTATAGCTATTAGATCAATATTCAAGAGTTTATCGACCACTGTATCCAGGAAGTGAACAATTTCAGCCGTCATCTTGGACAATCCGAGTAAAGGCCGTCAATCAAGAACGGCACATTGTATACACTAAAAAGGACGAATCACTGGAAGAGATCACGCCTGAAAGGGTAGGCTAGGGAATTGCACTAAACCGGCTGTTTCCACTACGAGATTTTTCCTTTGAAGAAGGGCTCAGCTGAAGGAGACGGACCAGATGGGGATGGCTTTGTTGTTGCCAAATTGATTGTCCCACAGTCTGCCCGAAAGGATTCTCTTGATGATGAGATTGAAGCATCGTCTGCGTCTGGAGACGTTGACGACGAGGACTACGCAATTTCGCTGACAACGGTTGCATCACAAGTTATGGAGTCTACGACAGAAGAAGCAGAAGAAGCATCGGCTACTGTTCCTGAAGATGTAATCCTGGCAGAAATGTTGGACACATCTGGAAGAGTAGGGCCCATGTTTGAAGTTCATGGTAAGTATGATTGTCAAATAAGTTGCATGTTTCCAGTCAAATGTAGCAAACTTAGAAGAGATGATCTTCCGACCGCCACCTCCACTTCCTCAATATGATGTGGAATATGGTCGTATTGACACCGATTTATTCGAAAAGGAGCTCATGATTAAGGCTCCGGTTGGTTTCACCACATATGTTACTTTTGAAGTTTATCCTTGTGGCGCCGAGGTATGATCGACGTAGAAAAGAATGGCTTAATTCGTTTTGAGCAGAACGATTATTAGTCCCGGACAGCGACAGGCCGTAGAGACTCTATTTAGCAAACTATCCCTTTTGATCAGATCTTCTGAAAAGATTATTTGGAAATTTTTCATGCCTTTGTCGATAGCCATATCATCTATCTTCTATCTTTGTTCAATCAATACTAATATACTTATTTATTCATTTATTTATTTATTTATTTATATGACAAAGTGGCATGCCCGCCCGAAAGGGTAGCAGCTACTGTGGGGAGCTCGGGTTCACTTTGTTGATTTCACTTCGAATCCTAGGCAGGAGGGCATTTGCGTCGCTCAGTCCACAACCTGACTGAGATTTTCATTCAGGACATGAATCTCGAAGAGCTCCGCAAAAAACTGATGAACAGTACTCATTTGGAGGAAATAAAGGGAGATAGCCACAGGTGAGTGGAACTTCCAGTTTTGACGTCATGAAGAGGTGGGGGAGCGTTGAGGACCATAGCCCTGGTGGTTCGATCTTACTTGGACTGCAGTTTCTCCATCTCCGATTGTGCCTAAAATGGCGTTTTTTGTTAGAATGACCATTCCAGAGATTACGGTAGCAGTTACATTTTTCCAATTCTACAAAGCGTTGACTATGACAACAATACGGTGCCAACCGCTTTTGCAGGTAACAATCCTGCTACAGTAACCTTCATAATTACGGTTATTGGTAATTTTTCAGACATTCCGGTATTGGTCTCCGTACAAATGAACATTTTATATTTGGCAAATTTTGATAGCGAACTTATGGAGTATTCAATTGATGTCGAGCTAGAAATGAGTTGGTACGATTTGAGGTGGGCACAGTATTCAAGGATTCAGGAATACCGACTACCGTAATCACAAAAGTCCTTTTTTAGATTGATGAACAACTACACGAAACCGATTCGAATTCGTGAAAAGCAGGTGCTGGATTTGATCTGGAAACCAGATCCGTATTTTGTGAATTCAAAGTTTTCCCAATTCCATCAAGTCTCTTTTCCGAATTTCCGTATGCGAGTATTTCCTGATGGACTTGTCAAGTATACTGTCAGGTACTGTTCATTACCAAAATTTACCAATAACCATTCTCATTATTCACCCAAATGATGGCATTCTTGATGTCGCCAATTCTCTTTCATTTTTCAAATGAACATTCGCATGACTTGCCAAGTCCCCCCTTCCCCCCCCCCCCCCCTCTTTTGAACTAAAATTTGGTTGGAAGTGGTTCAAACCAACTCATCTCAACGTTATTTCTTCTACTACTTTTGAAAATCAAGCATGCACAGAAAAGGGGCTAAATACAAAAAAATAAAGAAAATAATTTATTAACATTCCAAATTCATTGAATTCTTCCAGAGTTACTTCGGTGTGCAACTGTTTCATGCTCTTCTGCCTCTACCCACACGATCGTCAGGCATGCGATCTTCGCATCAGTTCGAGTCAGTCTTTTTGGAAGATATTTGGAGAAAAAGTAGAGTTACTAGTGTAGTACGAAGAAATAACATGTGATGAAAAACCCCAGAGCCACCTTCTATGGTGGGAAGAACGATCATGAATACACCTCATAGTCGTCATTATTCGAATAGGATACAGTCGACAAAGAAAATTCAGTCGAGCCAGCAAAATCTCGAACCAACCAAGTCAGCCGCCCTTACACCGCAATAGAGCATGTTCTAATTCCTGCACGATGACTGGGATCCATACAACTTTTGCCGACTCTCCCCTCAGCATTCCCGATTCAGTACGGGGGAAACTCCTTGATTTTGCTTGGTGTAGGTGTGATAATCCCATGAACACCTTTTGCCCGTGTTGGGGCAATCAGCAACGCCTCAGGATCATACCGATCTCGCACGGTACAGGTGAAGGACAAGCCATGGGGCTACGACCTCTGTTTTTCCGTGACGGGAAACCGCCACGCTGAGACGTCCCTAATATACTCACTCGCCCGAGCGCTCCGTATAGCACGCTGGGTCCCAATGCTCTACAACGTGGGGAGTGGCTGTTGCCTATATGTTCGTGTCATGGGCATGATTTGTGTTTACTTAGAACCTGGAAACTTTATAGCCAGCCTTATGAGCATGCTTATTTGATAGGACGGCCAACTGTGGGAAGTCACTTCACCGTAAGCCAAATGTTCAACCTACATTTGAAATCACAGAGTAGTATGAACTTGTATAGCCTCTTTCTGACTCCTTCTGGAGCTCTTGTGTCATTCTATTGAGAATTATTATATAAATCGATAGAAATATTAGATTTTAGATCGCTCAGCAAAGTGATGAGCCACGTCCTCGACTTCCCCTCACAATCTTCGGTTTTAATTGAAGTGTGAAATGGAGACCTGTTTCCAGCCTATTCTCTATATGACTCTAACAAAATTATTCCATATTATTTCTTTAGGGTCATGTTATTTCTTTGGAGCGAGCAGGCTTCAATAGAATTAATCAATCCAACGAACTATTTTTTAGAACCACCCACTCAAGTACTAGGAGGGGGACCAAGGAATCAAGAACAGGGGGCTAATCGAGGAGCCAGCATTGATAGAGATTTCTGATTTCTATAATGAAAAACGTCATTTTCATCAGTGATGGCATTGCCTACGAGGGTTACGGTACTCATTGTAGAATGAATTTCGTTCTTTGCAGTCGCATATCCAGCCTCATTCGTGCGATTCGCATGGCATCCGGATCCGGTATCGTTTCAATCTGAAATCGCCCTACCTGAATTGCATGTTCAACGAATTCGAAATGAGGAATGCATCGTAGAAGGGAAACTCAGTAAGTGTAAAAGGTGTAAGAAAGCAGTGAACGGCAAAGATCCTATCCTTTTCTGACACGCGATGCCAGTCCTTCGATTTCCAATAGATTTGGTTCAGCTCTATAGGAATCGAGCACACCCTAAATCACGAGTGAAACTTGATCCGATAGTTTATTCTTATCATGCGCTTCCAGCCGTTGAGCCATTTCATTCCTTCAATCCACAAAAAATCTCAGAAAATCACTTGCTCCCTAAGCATTCGCTGCTTTAGATACTTGGTCGATACTTAATCAGCTCAGATCCTCTAATATCTGCCAGTTTATAGCGCTGGATTTCGCTTGGGTGTAATCAATGCATGGGAATGAGGACCTTATCAGCTAGACAAGTTTGCAGTTCGTTCATCTTGCCTTCGCCTGGTCTTTGAGCTAGAACGAGATGGTGGACGATTCGTGGTCGAAAAGTACATCCCGAGCACATTGGCAATGATGTTTGCATGGGTTGCGCCATACGTACCATACAACTACGAAGACGTCCGAATTATCACCCCGATTACGGTAGGAAGGTTGTGTAATGAAGGGGAAACCCTAGAGAATCTTAGCATTCAGGTCCTGCTTACACTCGTACAGATGGAGAAGGGTGATAAGGAGATTCGAACGTCTTACTTGACATCAATGGATGTGTGGTTTGCAGCGATGAAGGTGTTCACGGCGTTATCTCTCGTCGAAAGTCTCGTCGTTTTGTCGTTGATAAAACGAAGTCGAGCAGTGGTTAGCTTTAATTCTGGATGGAGTTGGGACGATAGTATGGTCAGAATAAGTCGAGGTTTCTTGTTTACGGGGGATATTTCAGGGCAGGAGTATTCCGCGGGCTGCGAACGAGCTTCAGAGAGCAAACCTCCATGCGGAACAGGACCGTCTGACCAGGCTCTATCACCGCTTGGACAGCATGTGCCGATTTCTGTCACCAACTGCTTTTGTAATATTCTTTATCTATTACGTATTATTCGTGGCTCAAGGAGAGGATCGAGGATGTGTTGTGAAGTAAATTTTGTTTCGAAAAGTCAGATCCAAAGCCTTTATGGCTAATTTGTCAAGATGCTTTTGAGAATTAATGTATTTACACGGTGTAACCGAATCAGTCTGCAACAATCAGAATACAAATGAGGCAAGTATGACCAGCAGATAAACGACTGATGCCAAAGCAAAGATAGCATGATTGGCAGCATGAGCGAAGCCGGCGTACTTCAGGGAATCATCTTCGTGCTTGGATTTCTGCAAGAAAAAACAATGAGAATTGGAGAAAAAAACTTCCATTTTCGAATGAGAGATTTTTCGTAAGATGAAACTGACAAAACCCCTCAATGCTTTTTCATTTTTGTGAAATCAGAGACCTTCAGAGAAGACTATTCCACAATCACCTATATCCCATTTACATTATCAGTCCCTTCGAGAGAATTACTTTATCCGATAGAGAAGATGTGTTTCAGCAGCGATCAAACATCGGCTCCAACAGTATAGCTATCTCTTCGTGTACTGTAGGGATACTGTAAAGAGGTTGTACTCACTTTAGGTAAAGGCAAGATCCGATCAATAAGTTGAACTATCCGATCGACGGTATGAGGTGGAGGAATTTCCGATGGAGTAGTAGCAAGTCGTTCCAAAACCAGGGAAACGACGAACAGCACTGCTGTCATCACGAGGTTGAAGCCCGCGAATTTCACTGAATCAGAGGTTCCATGATTGGAATGTTAGAAAATTTTTATCTAGTACTTCCTCAGAATGGGAATTTCCAACAGCTACGAAGACGTAAGTGAAAACTTTTGTCGTCCTAACTATTTCTATTATTACAAGGAACCTTGTGTTTGATAAATTACGCGTAAGAAAATTTCAAATGAGGTTCACTCAGTCTGAATGGACCAAGGGCCTACGAACCTTGACATAGCCTCTGCTATCGAATTTCGCGTTAGGAATCTTGTGATTGAACTATTGTACCACTCAAAAAAGGCTAATGTAGAATGATTTCTGCTTCGATCTAAGAAGCCTATAGGAGGTTCCTTTCTTTAGGTTGATGGCGCAGACCGAAAGTGTGGTGCAACATCAGAAAGCCTCATTCATGAGCCGGTCTCAGATCTACTCTCCCCTCTGAAACCTGGCTCTTGCAAGTCATTGTATCGTAAGGACAATTCACATAGAATATGATGTTAAATAAAAAGAAGGGTCGAATATGTACTCTAACTGAGAGACGCAATAAACAAAAGCAGGTCGATTTATCTATTTCGTTTCGGAGAACTCACATATCGTTGGGGTGTGAGCAGTGAAGCTCGGAAGTCGTTGCGAAACCAGAATAAGGGCGAGAATTTGCGAAACGACTGAGAAACCTAGCAGCATCGGCTGTGTTTTCGATAGCTGGAAGTCAGATAAAACAGGTTTATCCGTCATTATAGTCCATAAGAAATTTCCACCTTACCTGGAAAAAGACTGAACAGACTGTGAAAAGTGAGGTGACGAGGGCCGGCAGAAGCATTTCGGCAGTGAAGTAGACAGCATTTCGTTGTAATGACAAGCACAATTCGCAATTGTCTGACTGCACATCGAAGGGATTTCGCCTCGGATCGGACAACGCTTCAACGTTGAACGGCGATTCCTGGAAAACAGTATTTAGGAGCTTAACAGGAGAAAAAAAAAGAATTGAGGCACTGTTCGATAGATCTTTTCTCAGGCACGCCACGCATTGGGCTTGTCTTCAAAACCTCTGGAGCGTTCAGATGGGATTGCTTTCATTAACAAAACGACTTAAAAGGTCTGTCGGTGAGTGGTTAGTTGTTCTCCCTTCCCTTTCATAGCGAATCACTAGCCCTGGAAGGATGAAAGGCCCGAAGGACTTTAACCTCGCTGGTGTCGGAACCCGATCAACGAGAAAATAGTGTGACATGGTACGTCCCAATCGCTACCCAAACGATTCCTGGCAAGAGCATTAACATGAAGTAAAAATTGTGGAAGAGTAAAACGATAAGGAAGGTGATCAGAGCAACAAAAGTCAGAATTTGAGATTCCAGTTACAGCTTTGCCTGACTTTTGTCACGAGTATGCAAGCTGAGATAGCTCACAAATATTCCTGTGTTTTTAGAAGATGCTCAATGTGAGGCGCATTCCGGGGCAGTCTGTCAGGCGACTGTTGTGGCTAAGAGCGACAATGCTACGACATCCTTGGAGGTAAGACTGGTAAAGGCCTGGTGCATTAACGGCTAGTTGAGGAGGGGCGGGAAGGATTAGAAAGAGGCGAGAGTTAATGTTGCCGATAGGGTTTGAGGGACGTTGTTGCTGAATTCAAGCCATACAAGTCTGATCTAAGCCTAGAACTGTTTTAAATCGGCAACAATTTCAGGCGAGGTACCTATAACTGCCTACGCCTTGCTGCCGTCTCTATTCTTCTTTCGACCCCTTTCATTTTCCGATTTTACAAGAGCCAATTTGTTGTCGTTTAAGTAATGGACCTAGTACACCTTACATTCACGTCGACGTCAACGATTTTCCATCCCGAAACGAAGGGATCAGTTGTGGCTTCGCGTTCCTTGTTCTTCACTCCATCAGACACTGTGAAGTGGACGGCAAGAAGGCGCTTATCGTCAAATTTGAAGCACACCTGAAAAAGTGAATCGATTTAGATATAGTTGAATTCTTGACCCCCTTTGAAACTCACCCTTTGTAGATCGTTAGGATAGTCTTCATATTGGAATCGGAACGGAGTTGAAAATGAGAAATCAGCCCATAAATAGACTTGACCAGTGTAATTAGCAGCTAGCACCTTGCTGGATACTTGGCCTGGATTGGAAGTCGACCCTCTGAAAACGACCATTTTTCCAACGGACATGCATGCATAGACATCTAAAAGCTCAAGAAAAGGTTTCTACGCTTTTTTCCCTTACGGTAAGCCTAAGCATAGCCAATCAATATGTGTCAGAAACACAAGCGCCGTGGGTTTGTCATACATTGCCCAATTCATGGTCTTTCTCAGACTCCAATCCGGGGTTTTCAGGAAATAAAGCAAAAGAGAAATAATTGAAGCGATTGGGTAAAAAAGGTTCTGCAGACAGTCATACATCTTTCAGGGCCGAGCTTTCAAAAACGTATAAATTACCCGTTCAATTGAACAATTTGTGGGGTCCAGATCTGGATCCAGTAGAAGTTCAACCAACTGAGACCCCATTGGTTCTTGTCCCATGAGATATTGGTGTCGTTCCAGCTCTGAATGAATCCTTCGAAGGAAAAATCTACAAAATTTCCAAGAAAGTTCATCAAACTAACCAAGACGAAGCGTCCGAACACTTTGACGTTCTGCTTCTTCTCGTCCTGAAATTTGGTTTTTCATCCGACATGATATGGAAGTTTGAGATTGGCTGGGCCAAAACACTCACAATCTCCACGTTGTTGACTCGAACGCTCTCAACTCGAACGATTCTCGTCGTGCTATCACTGGCATTGTGATAGTTGGCTTGAATATGTGTCCGCAACTTCCATGCCCTATCCCCGCCTTGACAGGAATGGCACGATTTCCGGCAATTTGCCATCATCCTGAATGAGTTTCCTACTCATTTCTACTGAAAGCTGATCAGCAAAACGAGTATTCCTCACCAAACGGCATTCGAGGAGCATTCGCCTTCCGCTGCCCATTCAGGGCACTTTGGATCGGCATCATCACAGCCGTTTTCGATAGCATTTACTGAAATCGCAATCGCATTCAGTCTTTTCTTTCTGGTCGACTGACCATTTTCATGGGTCATAAAGTCAAAGAATTCCGCGCCATTGAATAACTAAGGCAAATCCTTTCCCTCAAAAACAAGATCTTGGCTGGCCGATAACCATCAAAGGCCATCAAAGGTCCCGAAGTGGGAAGTATCTAAATGTTGATAAGTAACCATATCACGTGATTGTAAACGCATTCTAGAACCGTATTACCTATGCATTGATAGGGAAATAATTGCCCATCACTTTGATAACTTTGCGATTTCCTGTTGGCAAAACCAGTTAGCAGTCGAGAGGTGTAAGACGGTTGATAAGCGCGTCAGGATAATTCTTCTCATTCGTGAGCTTGTTTGATAGGGACTAGCCTTATTCAATCAAGCTCAAGAACAAGATGGAACTAACTAGATATGGTCTGAACAGACGTTCGTTATCGGTCTTACATGCAGCTGAGATTTATATGCATANNNNAAAAATCGGCGGTAGAAAAGATGGATCAGATTCAAAAATTACTTTGTCTTAAAAAATGCCTTTGTTGTCATTTATTTGGAAGATAAATCGACTACTTGCCGGGATTCACCTTGCATTTGTCATCATTCATAATCGTTTTAGTATCTACATCATTACGTAGTCTGGTCAGAACTTAGATGAGGCAAGCCATATCAGCATTTCTATCTCCCTATGTAAATAGGCTAATACCAGTTTGCTTCTTTGAAACCCGGTTCAATCAGGCAAGTAAGGCGTGGGTAATACAGCGGGAAAAGGGAAGGTGAGGAAGATTTGTGGTGAAGGTGCTGAAGAGATTTGTAGTTTTGGTGGTGGAGGAATCAGTCCCGCAACTATTTGATACACAACAGGTGGCTTTCAGAAGCAGTTGGAATGAGCAAATTAGGCTAAAGAAGGTCTTTCCATCGATTCTGGGCAGATGTAGAGTCATGGTATAAAACAAAGCCTTTCTTCTATGGAGAAATTGAGAACGATCAGCTGATCAAGCTTCTCATCAGCGGTGGCCAACCCTGATGCTGTCAGGTGCCGTCTCGAACTTCTCAGAAACTACATTACCTTGAAGAACAGGCTCTAAGGATCGCGCGTTTTGTGAGCTCTCCAAGGAAGTCCTTTCGTCCTATACAAAACTCGAACTAGAAGTCAGAAAGGTGAGAACTCTTGGTAGCTACTGTGAGACCTTACAGAACGTGTGTTCAAGTGGAAAGCGCTTCTTCAATTCTGAGTTTTCAAATTGATTGAAGTTAAAAGCCAATCGTTTGACAATCCAGTGGCCAACGGTGATTAGTTTCTTGGGATTCCCGCTAATGAACGAAATTCCGAGGAAAGATGTGATGGGATCCAGTCCGAAAACTTTTCGCAAATTATTGGGCTAATTAGACACGACATTTTCTCTGAAAGGCTACATTGAAAATAGCCCAAAAAGGATAATTTTTCGTTTCTTCTGCTCCACCATCGCGGAACCTCAAATTATTTTCCTTCCAAGTTCCTTTTATGCAGAAAAATGATTGCATTGTAACGGATTCGGGCAACGTTAAGGTCACCGAGACGAGCGCTCCCTCGCTACTTTAAAATTATTGTCAGTAATTGCAGAAGGAAGAGCAAAATGTGGGAAAAGTGGTATTGCCTTTTTCCAAGACAAAAGCCAAGCCATTGAAACCGCTTTTGTGATCGGACGCAAAACCTGATCCCATAAGATCATTCCTGGCTTAATGGACTGGAGTGAAGCACTGAGCGGGGGCTACACACAAACGATCTATTAATCGAGTACCACCCACCAAGCCTTCCGCACATCCTGGCTTATCTACTCGAAAACAAGCTTGACCACCAAAACAAAAGGCGCTAGCATATACAGCGTATACACTCTAGTTAATCCATACAATCGCTACAGCAATTCAGAATAGGGCCTGAATAAGTGACGCATCAACGGGAATGCCCACACTCACGAAAAAAAAAGTTCAACTTCTGATGATGCCGCTTTCGAGACTGCTCATCTCTAGAACTCTTCATTAGGAGATTTCAACAAAGACAGCATGACTGGAGACCCATAATATTTCAGTAAGTTGATCTCTACCGGTTCGAACGTTCCTTCACACATGTAGTTTATAGTTGGGTTTTGATGCCGCTCTGGCTTTTACATTAAACCGTAACAGTGAACCCATGCTGCCGAACAAATTCGGTACGGTTTGGTAAAGTTCAAGGAATGGAAGGTTGGGAAACCCGCATGGGGACTACGCAAGTTGGGACTGGGACTTCCTTGAGTATGAATTTTTTTTCAGTGGCAATAAGCAAACGCTTGAAAAAGGAGTAGCCGAAGTAGACATTTTACTGATTCATTGACATCATCGATGAATTTCAAGTTGGATCATAAACATTTCCTTTTATAATGCGTTTTTGTAGAGATTCGCGCAAATAGTTTCTAAAGTTCTGATTAACTCGAACAAGTACGATCGTCAGGCCATCATAAATTTAAAAGATCAGCAAAACAACTGAGTAATCTCATAACACAATCTCTATTGTCCACTCTGGGAGTATGAATGAGTGCGTGGCGCATTTCACGATCCATTATGTACACCATAGAAGTTCTATGCAAAAAGTTTTGCGAAAATTCGGACTAATATTCGTATTCAGGAAAAAAACCGTTAGCGATACCCACCTCGGACGAATACAAGCGAAACAACGAGGAGGGTTCGGACGATCATCTGAAATTCATTCGGTCACAATTGGGAAAACTTTTCGAAAAAATGTGAGTTTTTCGAAGAAAACAGCTGAGCGGAGGATTTCAAAGACGCGAAAGTGAAAATGCANGATAATGGGCAGTTCGGTGACGGTCCATGATCACTTAATAGGTATGTTCTCGGACACTTGGATGAATGAGAATGCATGACGACGTCGTCCACAATGACGGCCACCAGACGACGGGACGACAGCTGTGGGAGCGAGACCGAACGAGCGGAGCGGGAATCGAAACGATGAACCGGCTTCGGGGAGCGGCTTATGTTCGTTCTTCCGGGTCGACGACTTGTCTCCCGATCCCGTGCAGAAAAGGCAACAACAAAGGAGATCACCAATGATTTAGTTCAAATCTCGAAAAACGAGTCTCAAAATCTTATTAATGAGATTTTGTCGAAATAAAAACGCATTGTTCGAGATTTCCGCATGATACCCGAACGCTTTCAGAAACCAGTTAATTCCAAAGCATTTCCAGGATAGGTCAGTGCAATGGCCGGTGCTGAATGGCATGATGTGATTCGTGAAGTCGGATCTCATCCGAGTTCATCACAAGTTTTATTGACTGAGCGTGGATGAGCTGACTCCAAAATGTCTAGTAAAGTAAAAAGTCATGAAAAATTATAAATCCCAGTGATGTATGCTGCGATAGGTGGCCCACTCAATTGCGGCAACTAGTCTGCATGCAAATTGGGTATCGGGCTCACTTTGTTTGAAGAAGAAAAAGCAGTACCATAAACTGCCGGGTTCCTGACAATCCACCTACCCTAGCATCATCGTAGGTACTCATAAGTATAGTGCCTACTCTATCGTCCTTGTATGCAACACTAACGAGAAGGGTTTCCGACGAGAAGATAGAGTGCTTGTGTGGAAGTATTTCAGTCCCGTCCGGAACCTACAGTATACTAAGAAATTGCGCTCCCCGATTATCCCATGTTGGAATGTTCGGATACCGTAACAAGATTTGTGATAGAGATCAAAACGGTTGTTACCGTACCCCGAAAACCCACGGCAAATGGGGAAGCAGGTTTGGAGAGCCCTATGCTCAGCTCCTTCCCCATTTGAGGTAATTCTTCTGTGAGTCCGACCAAATCGGAACGAATGATGTGCCATTAGATTGAAAATTCGGCAAAGAAGTGCCTAGATCATTTGCAGAAGTATCGTAATATACCTCTTCATACTCTACATTCTTTCCAAAAGAGACAAGATATGGAAGAAAAATATTTGTCAGCGTATTCTGACAAAATGAACAATTAAAACGACTTCGAGCGGAAGTAGAGATCTTTTACAAAAGAAGAATATTCATTTTATCAAGGAATGAGACGGTCATTTAATCAAAGCTGCACGCTCTTGGAAACTTGCAAAAAATAGGTGCCCTTTTGGTTGCCCAAAAATAAACAATAACGCTCAGTTTCCAGCGAAGGGGGTCGTGTTGCATTAGTATTGATTACACTCAAAGTAGACTTTGATTCCGTATTACGGTAGGTATAAAAAGTTGCTACTGAGAGAAGGGGAATCATGTGGGAACGGCACAGAAGTAAGAGTTGTGGAACTAAGCGAATACATTAGAAAAACTAAACGCAAAGGCCTAAGTCAAGCTGAGAGAAGAATAGGCATCACCCAGCTAGTTAGCAGTAAGAGTAAGCATGAATCACAGACGTAAAGAGGAGGCAGAAATAAGTGATTTGACCGGATCAACAGAATGGATTTCAGTATCAATCCCATTCGGACATAACGGGCCTCCTATACGTCCACTGCTGTGAATTGGAGGCATACATCTTGGGCGATAGAAGCACGGGACATATTAATTACCTCTTGCGGATCGTCACTTAGGGCATTACGTATGCATTCAAGTTAGGTGAAAGTAGAAGGGATCCCAGGCCAAGTTCGAGGAAATGGAACTGAGAAGAGATCTATGAGTCTATCCAGGAATATGTGCCCTCGTTGAAGCCTCCCCAATAAAGAAGCGTAGGGCAAATAAAGTGGCGACACTGCAAATTCTGCTCTGCATTACTTTGGTCAGGTTCGCCATAGCCTTAAGCTAACGAGAACTTTTGAAATCACCTCTAGCTGATCAATTAATCAACAACTAATGAAGTAGCAGCCCTTGAGATCAAAACAATGAAATTTTGAAGACCAATGATTAGCTATGAAACGATAGAGAAGTGTTCGTCAGACTGCCATACGCGTGGAACTGGTTCCACCCTCGTCAATGGTAAAACAAGCCACCGATGCTAACAGCCTGGAAGGTCGAAGTTTTTTCAGTTGCTGCTTTGCTGCTGTGGAACGTTGCGCCAACATAACGCGAAATACAAAGTGACGTTTAGAGAAGCCGATCAACCATGACCATTCGATTCCATAGTGGTTTTTGTCACACACACACAGGTTGGAAACTTAGTGTGACCACAACTTCCCCATTGTTTACTGTAGCCGTCTAGGTGTCACAAGCTGATAGCAGAACAGCTTATTGTTCTCTCTAGGTCCTACCAACTCGATCTACCCAAACTGCCAAGTACGGTATTCGAAGGGAATCTTACAATTTCCCTTTGACTCAGTTGCAGGATTAATGTGCAGCAAACGTGTGGAGCCGGTAGATGGGATGCTCTTCGGACTGAACTCGCTCAGGGAAATAAATGAACTTTGGCCTGCTTTGGTACATTGGTTTTCTAAATGAAATCATGCATCCAAATATCACCACACATTTGAACTGAAGTCGCCTACATGGCTCATCCTGAAGGTGGGGTTGATCACCGCGATGGGTTCTTGTCCTTCATTGATACCCATGTCTATTGACGCCACTTGCAGTAGTTATAACTGAATTGTGAACAAAACGTTCAGAAGCCATGTTTCAGCATTCGTAATCAGGCCATAACTACAGTACCCCATGACAGTTGTTTAAATTACAAGTACTTCAATACCATAATCCGAAAAGCACTTCTTAACTCCTTCATGTTGAGAGTTAAACACTTGGTGTAAAGGATAAACTCGCAGCTTAGAAACTAGGAGTGGTTTAAATTAGGATTCTCGCTCGGCGATACCACCTTTGAACTGCAACCACATAGCCGTGAGTTGCCATTCAGAAGATTTTTTAGTATCAATTCACTCCCGCTAGAAAATTATTCTGTTTTCAATTATATCCCGATCCAGTTCAATGATCGACACGCTCTACTGAAAATTGCCCATCGCAATGTAACTGGTTTTGCACGACTATTGGGAATTGCCGTTACCACTCAGTAGGAGATCTGAAAATGCATAGTAGACCCTCATCTAAATTCAGAAATAAATGGCAAAATATAGCAGCACGGTGGCTAGACTTTCAAGCGATACATAAAAACTAATGCCTGGAGCTAGCAATTTCACGGAACAAAGCAACAAAAGTTTTTTTCCGATAGGCAAATCAGCAAGAGGAACAGACCAGCTAGTGATTTCTGCATCTTCAACAGCAATCGAGAAAATTGCGAAAATCGTAGAGAATTCGCACCACATCAACTTTTCATATGTTCGCTGTTTATGTGCTTTTGAAAAGTACGAAAATGTGGTCCGTCCCGATCTGTGCCAGAAAATCCTGTTCCTGAATGAATTCACATAGACACCTGCTGAGGAATGTTCCAACAATTGAATTCCTCTAGAAAGAACTCAGTCGAAAGTCTCTTCTCAAGAAGCTTCCTCCTAGCAGAAAGGGTTTTTTTGAATCTCCTCCGGACCTCCAGATGTCTTAGGGCTTGGTCTCGATAGGCATCGATTGAATAACATACCCAAGAAGACGTCCAAGTTATAGTTCTATAAGAGACAATGCATTCTATCCATCACCATGGATCCTCACGTTGTTCTTCGAAAGTTTCATGATTTTGAGAAAAAGGCAAAAAATGGTGCATCCTATTGCACGAGCACCCATCTCTCTACTATTAGGAAATCGAAGAAGTAGGAATTTCTGGCAGACTTTCTGTCCACAGGAAATGTCAATACGTAGTGTTTTGTAGAAGCAAACAATGTTCTCAACCAAAGTACAGCTGGACGGTGTAGGTGGCGCAGTGGCAAATGGCGCACTATTATACACGCACGACCCTGGGTTGGATCTACCAGGCTTGCCCAGGTCAAATTAACTATCCACCCCAACCTCCCGATCAATCAATTGGCACCATACTTGTCTGGGAGGATGAGAGCACCGACTTTAAAATGGGCTGGCCATCGTAACTCACTGTATAGGCCTCATACACATCCATTTCCTCGCTACGATTCCAAATAGAAGCCTGATGCGAGGCACATCCCAAAAGCAGGGTTGAGAAACTCCAAGAACCTTATCCTGCAACCTTCGAATTACGACTCTGCATAAAATGGTTTATGAAGGCTGTGGATAATTAGATTGGCTTGACCCTGGGGCGTTCCAGTTCGTCTCCTACTTGATATCATCCTAATTTCAGTGATAAACAATATTAGTCGAGTTTTAGTAATAAAAACAGTAGTAACTTGTAGTCACCGCGTTTTTACCACACCGTAAGACTTTCTCCACCATCTATCCATACTAAAGACTCCGCTGGAACTGCAAATTAGAGAGCATCCAAAAACTTTACGAAAATCAAAATTGCAAACCGGTAACCTTGCAGATTTTTTTCTCTCGCTTTGCAGCTATCGTTCTTTCAACACTGAAATGACATCGTTCGGAACAGACGTCCCTCTCATCCCTAAAAGGGTTCTCGCTGAAAATATAACCTGAAATGAATAAAAATACTCCAATCATTGTAGATCTGGCAAAAGGGTAAGTAGGTGGTGGCAATCGAAGGGGGTCCACAAAATCGCTCTTAAAAATTTTTGACGAATTAAGCATTCAGTGGCACATGGATATTCATTCGCTATTCATTCCACAATTTGATCGATGGATCCTCTCAATCCAAGCTGGATCGAATAAGACCTACTCATCTCACCATCAGTTCGATGTGGTCGTTGGTCCCCAGAGGTGTATCTATGTGGCCATCTGCTCATGTTCAATATTTTTCATCCCATAAAAGACTAAGGACAAGGACTTAGGCTTTGATCAATCCCTTTTTTTCGTTCTACCACAAACAACTGGCAGGAGGCTTTGGTGATACCTCAATATCTCCACAAGCTATGCCGCATTTTTACACATTTCTCTCCATTTTCAGCGAGACCCCAAAAAATGTACAAAACCACTGCATAAAAATCCTAGAATTTTTTGTGGGCGCCCCGACACAATGACTTGCCTAGGTGGCCATCCAAGCCATCCAATCTCTCCCGGATTAGACAGTGAAATGAAACGAACTCCACGGGAGTACCTCATCACCGGCACTTCGTTTTACTCGCCTTCACCGTCAGAAGGCTTGTCTTATGTGCTGAATGAAACGGCCTTCACCGTTCTCGACATGCAGGTCAACCATGGAAGGATCTCAAAAATGAATCGTGCACTATTCCATCAAGTGCCAGCAAGCAATGCTGCCAGCTGTACCGTATTCGAAGACTTGCTCGGGAATCGCGAGTACCGTACGTGACTGCAGAACGCATTTCCGAGTGCCGTCGCTAATGTTTTCTCAAAGTTCTTTGCTTTTTTGGGGATACCTGAACTATGTTCCTTTTCCGCTTTCACGCTGAAAAGTCAGGATCCAACGTCCCGTGAACTCGTGATACAGTGACCCCCATATAGCCCATATTAATTTGAGATAGTTTCAGATAATAATGAAAGTGCCTTGAAATAGTAACAATACTAAGCAGTAACACTTTGTAAAGTTGTCAATGACAAATTCCAATTACTTCGAGAAGATCTCCGTTGGCCGAGTGAACGAACAAAGACCAGTGTCTCATTTAGAAAGTAGGACAAGCGAGTAGAGTGGATGAGGGGTCTATTATTACAGTTGGTTACTATCTATTTCAGTTGCATCAAATCAGGTAACTGTGTGATGGCCCCTCCAGGTAATTTCTGATTAAAATATAAGACATCCCGAAAGCGAAATGAAGGCCCAACTCAGCGGATTGCCCTCTACGTCTGGCAGCCTTACCAAAGGCGAGACGCTTGAGTATTTCGGGAATTCCACTGGTGAAGAAGTATAGAGGGGAGGGGTAGGGAAGGGGCAAAGCCCCCTTTGAGCATTGAGTGCTATAGCGTAGAAAATCAAGCATAGGTGCTCTCCTCCTGAAGCTTAAGTAAAGACTATATTTCTTTATCTAAGAACATATGTAAGGTTGGTTACCCTTCCTTCTCTTTCCATAGTAGAAGCTTGTGTGGGTGAATCTGTACGAAATGAGCATACGCCAATTCTGATTGATTGAATCAGAATTTCAATTGTCTCGGGAAGCCTGCTTCACCTCCTACGCCCACCGATGCTTTTCTGCAGAAACATCCAGAACCTATGAGTCATGTGGGAATCCCTACCACCTTGCCATTTTCCATTGTGATGCTTCACTGCTCTACTTCGTTCCCATTCCATCTCACGCCTACCATTTTTTCAGGTATTCTCCACGTTCATCTCGCCAGTCACCCCTTACTACTTGGATAATGGTGCTTTTAAATACGAAACAGAAGCTGGCACTACTTTCGCTTTACTCCGAGGAGATTAAGAAGCGATTAGCTCCACTTTACAATTCTTCCGAACGGGTATGTAGTTTCTTTTCAATAATTGAACCAGCTCCAACTATTTCTAATCTATGCGTCCATTCACATGACTTCGTGCCTTCACTGAAGACTAAGAGCATTATGTGATTTACTGGCACCGTTACCCTGTCGATGATTTAGAAGTTTAGACGCAACGATTCTTGGCATTAGCTTTTCCGGTATCCCTTCATAAACACTACCTTGCTTTTCCGACATCACCTCTAAAAGCTCTGGATTTCAGAAGTGCAACGGTTCCCAGTCACTTTCCAGTGTATTGTTTTTCTTTTTTGAGAAACTTCGAAAACCTGAAGATATTGAATTTCTAGCCCGCCGAACTATTAGAGCTCCTTGGTACTAACGAATTCGATGAAATACTGGTAGATTCGAGCGATGATGCCGACTTTACTCAAAAATTATGGGAAGCTTTGATGAATTCGCCTCTGAGTGTTGCCCTCTACGACACAATTCTACATTACCTTTCGACTGGTCGGTGAAGTTCGAATAATTTTTATTTTTAACATTTTACCTTCATTTGATCCTTTGTCAACCTCCGTAGATATTCTTTACAACAGAATTGCAGTGGATGTGGAACTGCATTCCATCTTGTGTTGTATTTCTGAAAAGGATTCTCGAAGCCAGTTCAGGTCAATCTCAGCTCGAACTCATTTCATTGTTGCTCTTTATGATACATGACTGCTTTGTGTGTTCAGCAAAGTGCTGTTAAAGCTCGAGGAATTTTGGACTTATTTGGATGTAGATAAGACTTTGGAGTTTCTGAAAGGCATTCGATACTACAGAGAAGTTGTGTCACGAATAGAAAGGAGCCTAGAGGGTAGGTATGACCATTTTATTATTCTCATACCGAATTCGTGTAGGAATATAGCCATATGGTCTTCTAGGCGTTGAAGACGTCACTACGAAAAAGAGGGTTGTTCTACGAACAATTCCATTACTTGGAGATAACGCTATTTATGATCTGATGCGATCGATTTATTACAACTCTGAACAATCAACGGGATTCGTGAATAAATTACACCCCAATTTTCTTCGATTCTATGGTGAGCTAGAAATTTTTTGATTATCGTATTTTGGAATTTATTAAGATGTGTACTGTTTCATAGTAGGATGTATTTCCAGAGTTACTAAATAAAGAAAGAGATTCACCTCGTGGAATCGTCACGTTTTGCCCATCGAATGTTCCGATCAGTGACGTAATCGATGAAAATTCTCCGGAGGCTAAGTTAGGATTCAAAATTCTTAGAGGTTGTGTTGATCAATGATCGTCAGATTTGTTCTTAAGAAAATACAGAGTAAATTTGAATTATGAAGACTTGCCATCCAATTCGTATGGAAGCGTCAATTTTACTGGTAGGCTGTTGAAGTCGATTGATGAACGATCGTTCGCAGGTGAGTTTTAGCAGTCGTGTTTTGTTCTAATCCATTTAATCAGTTTTTTCGGAAAGATTTAGAAGAATGAACTAGGAATTTAAGTTAGATCACCAGAAAATCCAAATCCTCAATAGGCCCTGACTAGTGGGCTCGTTCGAGAAGTAGGCAACGAGTTCATCGAGAACGAGGAAGGATTAGATGTTGTGGTTGGAAGGTGGAATTATGAGTAAAAGATAAAACAAATATAAGGTCTCCGAGCTTTAGCCAGTCCCGTCTGAGAAGTGCACCTTCTCAGGTGTAAATACTCAAATCGAAAGTTAAACGAGAGACTTGATAGAGGAATGAAAGCCCTATGTTATGTTATTGCAGTTTGCGTTCAGAAACACCGATTTTGCTGCGTGAATATCAAAAAGAGTTATGTGTGAAAGCATTGAACGGAATCAACACAATCATCGCTGCTCCCACCGGATCAGGAAAAACAATCGTAGCTGTGAACATCATAAAAGATCATCTGGACAAGAATATATGTAATGGTCGTAGAGCGAAGGTGTGTATTAGCGTGTAGAGTAACATATTATGCCATAATAATACGTATTGTAGGTGCTTTTTATGACTCCAAATACTGTAATTCTCGACCAACAAGCCGATAGCCTTCGTAAATACCTTGGACATCGATATCAGGTGGGTTCGATATCCTTCCTTTTTTTATCATTACATTCTTACGCGCTCCTACCTGTGATCATTGCTACTATGGTATGTGTTTAGGTCCTGGCAGTTCGTGGTTCTGATAATATTCCACTTCGGGAGATTACTAAAGCGAAAGATGTCATTGTAGCGACTCCACAACTTGTAGTGTTAGTGTTTTCTTACGTTTATTACAATGTTTCATCTGTTTCCGAATTTCCTTTTGGGATCGAGTTTTTTTTTTTTTTTTTGAAATTTTTGAAATCGAGTTTAACAACCCTTTGAACCCACGCCGAGCTGCTCAAAGGTCTACTTCAGAGCTTTAAAAGGTTCCAAACTTCCGGTCCAAAAGTATTGCTAGTTTAAATAAGCGAACCGATGAAAGTTGAGTATTATTCAAAATTGCATCGTTGACCCTTGATATCATTTGGCAGCCAAAGTCGGCGTCTCGGTTAGCTAGGAGTGTAGAGGGATGTACGAAGCTCGGCATTTCTCTTTTTTAAGGGCTCCCCAGCACATTCGACTTTCAGACTTTCGTAAGGTATTGGATTCTATGCGTTTAGATGACGGAAAATATTGCTGCTATCAAGTGATGTAAAATTTGGTACCATTTTTCATTCGTGGGCCTTCATACACCTCTAATCGAGCCTGTAAGGGTGGAAGCGAAGCCGAAATAAGATTCTGAGCGATACACTCAAACTCTTTGTAACATCATTCCTAGTGTTCCTAGGTTTGCTATCGTTTTATTCCAGGAATCTTCTTATGGAGAATACCGTATCGGACGGTATCGAGAATGCAATTCAGCCACCTTTCATCGTAACTGCGTTCACCTTGATGGTGTTCGATGAATGTCACAATGCTGTTAAAAACTCGCCTTATTCGAGTAAGAAATTGTTTTCCTTTTCTTCCCACAAGGCTCATTTTCGAAGCGCAGTTTCCCTGAGAGTCCGGCCCTAATGAAGTTGCCTTTGCCTATGCAAAACCGTTTTGGCACAGGTGTTGTGGAATGGTAAAGTTTATGGGAATAGGTCGTACCGAGGTAATACTACAGGGCTTAATGGAAATATATGTCTTGTTAAGCATTGCGTCCTTTCCCCACCTATTCCCTTTGTAATTTAACTGATTATACTCGACTATTCCTCCCCTACGCGCGCAAATTTTTTTACGTACTCTTCTTTCTTCCTGGGCGGGACTGTTTCGAAATGGCAATTTCCCATAAGTGGGATGGGTTTCTAAAGTTATGCGGATGTGTGGAAAACTGATTTATTTTGCAGTGCTTATGCGCTTCTATCATCGCCTAAGCTTTTCTCAAAGAATTCCTTCCAAGGCTGACTTACCTCAGGTTTGTAGAATGATCCTTTTTCTAATGTAAATTTCAGTACTGTCATTAAGCCAACCTTGTCAACAGGGCTAAGTAAGCTCTGAGAAATAAGTGACCCTCCGAGTTGCTAAACAACAATGCTCTATTTCACAGCAAAATTTCTTCGCCATCTTCGAGTGATGCTTTGCCCATATGCCCTACACTGGTCTCTCTACTGCTAAGCACTCCACTTCCCCATTTTGACATATCCTCGGTCTGTAATTGACCAATTGCATGAATAGTGCTAATAGTTGTATAGAAAAACGGAGTCTCATCGAGAGCCTCGAGTTCAGTATTACCTCAGAGATTGGCTATTTGTAGATAATCGGTCTTACTGCTTCGTTGGGTGTTGGAGGGAAATCAACAGAAAAAGAGGCCATCGCTCATGTCGTGAAGTTGTGTGCAATGTTGAATTGCAAGGTATAAAAAATAGATATAATTTCGGAAGCGATTCGAAGTATATCCTCAGAACTTCTTTTTAGGTGATCAGTACTGTGCGCAAGAATGAAAAGGAGCTCATGAAGTTTTCACCACTAGTTTTTGATGGTTATATTTTAAAGACCATTTTTTCTATTTTTTGTGAGCAATTTTGTTTATGTTCATGTTTGCTCAGAAATCTGCTTTCTCCCCGGTCAAGACGATTGCAATCGTCGTAAATTTCTCGAAACAATTTGCGAGTTGATGAGAATATTTGAGAAAGAATTGGATGATATCTACAGTAAGTTCTGGCTCATTTCCACTGTGATGTAGTTCCATCTTTTTGCATGTTCAGAAAATTTTGCCTTGCAACCTGGCAGAAGAGCATCTTCTGAAAACAATAATGTTTCTAGTAATGGTACACTCTATCGTACATTTACTAAGTATGAAGCTGCGCCGGAAGACAAAACATCACAGTGTAAGTCTGTTTTAGCTACGCTGATAAAACTTTGTTTTGTATTATACGGCTTAGAAGGGCGTGGCTCTAGCGAGTTTCAACTTCGTTGCCCTTCGTGAATGCATGTGCTAAATACATGCCCACCGCGGTAGCTCTTTTTAGTTATAATTTTATCTGGTTTCAATTGTCAGCGTACCTTAATTGGGTCAGTAATCATCTTCGACGTCTTATGCCTGAAACAAAGTTTTCAAAAGATGCCGCAAAAATTCGAGCCATCGAGATTCTGGAAATTCTTGAAGTAAGTTCTGGAGCTCGTTTCCCAAGATCCGTTTATGACTTTTATGTTTCGTTTTAGATTCTTTATCGCGCGATCGAAATGTTCGAGGATTTCTCGAGTGCTGAATCGTTCAGATATCTAGAGGAACAAATGACTCTCAGGAGTGGGTCGCTAACCTCCTTCTCATGTAACCACTGGTCAAGTGGGTGAAAATCAACGTCGTAAGGCTTCTGATCAATGTTTTGATAGTTCTATGAACTTCCATTATGCAGAGTATTCTGCTACGCTCCGTGACTGCCAAACATCTGATAACATTCTAATATCTGAGCTTGTGAGGTGAGCACTTGATTAGCTTTTGTTTATGTTTACCAATACTGTTATGGTGTGCGGTATTTTCAGCCAGTTACGCAGTAATAGTGGCCAGGATTCTCGTGCTATAGTGTTCATTCGAACACGCAAAGGTGCTTCTGTATTAGCTGAAATGCTCAATAGACATCCAGGCATGATTGAGGAAGGAATTCGAGTCGAATGCATTGCTGGTATATCAGTCAGCCATCTTCATTAGCATTGACTTTCTATGTTCTTACTTATCCATTTTCAGGTCTAAGTAAAGGAAGCTGTGAAACAACGACAAAACGTGAGCAAATGGAGAAACTGCGTAGGTACGTATTACTAAATCTCTTGAACAACCACGACAAAAAGGAGAACAAACTGTTTCTGAAGTTTAATATCTGAAAGCTATGTCATAGCAGTGATGGGAGAACGATTTAGTTTTTCTGAGGCTCTCGTCCATTTCTGAATTGGTCCAGTAAGCTGGACGTCGCAGCTGTAAAGACGCTGCGTTATTTCCGTGCAGCGTACGCCATGCTTTGACTTATTTTAGATTTCGAGATGGAGGAACCCGGGTACTTGTGGCAACATCGGTGGCTGATGAAGGATTGGATGTAGCTAAATGTAATCTCGTAATTAAGTACAATTGTGCCACAAATGAGATCGCCCACGTGCAGCGCAGAGGTGATCTGACTAGCTTCCACGAAATGTTCTTCTCTTTGTCATGCTTGATTGCAGGCCGTGGACGGGCGGAGAACTCTAGAAGCATTCTCATCACACAAAATTTGAAGATGAAGGAACAAGAAGAGAGGAATGTTGTCAAGGTATTTTTCGAATTTTGCATCTTATCGAAGCGCTTTTGTGAATGATTTTTTTGTGCCAGGAACGATTGATCAAACTTATTCTGTGTGCAATTCAGGAGAATAAAATTGATCTTGTGGCTCGGGTAAGTTTCAATCAGTTCGAATGTCCAGTATTCGCTTTTTTGATTTTTTTTGTTATTCTATGGGGCGGTATGTTCTGCTCCTTTTTCATTTTGAAGTACCGTTTGCCAGGTTCGAGCTATTTTTTGATAGGTCTTTGTCAAGACTATTGCTCATTCGTTGCTATTTTTTTCCCTTACCCAGATCAACTGATTTTGTTACCCCAGAATTTCGTGCTGATTTATATTCACAGATATTCCTTACTATGTACGTAACTGGCACATAATCCAAACAACACATTCCTCTACATAACACAAGAACATTGTAAATGCTGGTATACGCGATCTGTTCAGGTGGAAGAGGGAATTAAAGAAATACTACAAGAAATGCAGCGAGAGGATGCAAACGTTTCGCAGCGATTAGCGCAGCAAAAAATTTCTGGAAAGGTGTACAGGTTGTTGTGCAGGTAAGGTTTCTTCTGTGCATGTTGCACAAGAGGTGTGCCAAGCCTCGATTTCAGCAAATGTGATGCGCTCCTCTGCACCTCTAGGGACATTAAAACTTACAAAAATTCGCAGTACTGTGTTTGCGATCCGTCTTTTTGGGCGAAAACTCGCAATGAAGTGATTCGTGTGGGCACCTCAAGGGAGGAGAAATTCGGTGCGATTGCCAAGGTATCGTCTTTTTGTTCTGAAACCTCTATCCGTTGATCCTTTAGTCTGTCAAAATTGCCGACATGTGATCCTATTTGTCTGGTATTTTCCCATAGGAGTGATGTCAGTTTACACTTACTCCGTCATGGGTTGAATCTTAATGTTAAACATGGTGTTGAGGACACTCGTGTGTAGAACTTGACACCAGCCTATAGCTGCTAATCGCGGCTATGCATTCTTTTATGGCACATGGAATACAAGATTAATTAATTGAATCCCACTTTGGACAAGTTTTTTATCGCTTCATCAGTGCTTGGCCAAATTATCCATCCAGTTATCCAAAGAAATTATCCATAGGGTTAGCTGAATGACTGAGCGTTAATATGTTAGTATGGTTCCAACAGAAGCGCCTTTCTCTTTCTCTGATTGTTTTCTGTGTTTAGTTGCATTGTGTCAGCCCTAATTGCCAGAATGTTCTTGGAAGGATCATTCACTTGGAGCAGACAATGATGCCAGTTCTTTCAGCACATGGTTCGTTTCTTGTTGTGTTTACTGCGCCTGGAGAAAAGTGCTTCGTACTTGAAATAGCAAAAAAGCAGGTAGTAGGTGTCGCAGCGAACGCAGGCTGTCACCAAGCTGATCTGTAGATCGGACCGGCACCGCTCTAGCTTATCAAGCCTCCTGTTACTGTGGAGACGACTGTTTACTGCAGTTATTTGCTGAAAATGAAATCATAGCGTTGCAGATGAACGACTGATTTTCAATGCCGTGTACTTTCAGCATGTGTGTTTGAATACACCGACGGAGCATTGAGGGAACGAAAAACTGTGCGAAAATGGCTCAATGTAGGATTCTGAGACTGGATCTCTTTCCATCTCTATTCATAGAATTGAGTGATTTTCAGGTCAAAGAGCAATTGTTTATTCCGGATGAAATCCGTAACTACGATCTAGCTGCTATGAATGAAGCAGCTGTCAAACCCAACATTCCTAATTTTACGTCTAAGGGAGTAGCTGTTCGCTTGTTTTGAAAACTGGTTCATAGTACTTGAGTACTGTGTTTTCTCCATGCAGAACTTGTTCCTGAATAGTCATTCCTGCAGCATGACTTGCAAAAATCTGCGGCAATTTCGGAGTACATGGGTCGAACTTGCCATTTCCGATGAATAGCGGTTTGTGCTTCTGAGCAGATGCTTTTTGTACGGTCAGGGTAATTTTTTTATTCCAGAACTACTTAGTAGTAACTCCATTTTTCGGCGAATTTGGGTACCTTGAAAATAACAGGATTCTAGTTCGTTTTAATGTCAAGATTTTCAGTAAGGTCAGAATTCGCCTTATTTTTGTTTTGTTGTTTTTTTCTGCTATGGAGTGATACTTGAGAATTGTACATAGTATTTTCTAGTAATTTCTAACATCTTTTAACTGTGAAGTGTATCTTCTGTCCAGTCAGAAGGTGCGTGTTTTCGAGCAAACCGATATTCCGCTGTGGTTGAGATTTCACCATGGCATCCCTCCCGGCTTTAGCTGATGGAGTGCTGAAATAGGTGAAGGATCGTGGGATCGGGTTTTCAAATGCAGAATTGTAGGTATTTGTTTTGTAAAGAGGGCTGCTGCGAGGATGAGATGTCTCCCCTATTTAGCATGAGATTTCTATAAATGATTCGATCACCGCACCTTCGACTGGGCTGTCCATTCAATTTTGTCTAGATTTTTTAGATGTTGCCCAGAGTTCATTTTGTCTTATCACTAGTTACACATGCACTTCGACATAGAACCGGTTAAGCGTTTTTTGATACGTTGTCACTGAGGTGTTAGACCATTGAACACGTCATGTTACTTGTTTCTAATCAAATTACGGTTTTTTGTGATATTCACTGAATGTTAATTCTTTTGCTTTTGATGTTTTGCTACCCTCATCGTTACTTTGTTGAAGGAAAACTACTGGAAATTCTTAACTTTGTCCTTAATTTTTCACGTTTCCGCTACTTATGAAAATAAAATTTCTTATTCTGAATTGTTGTTTGCAGTTGGTGAATTACTTTGGTAGCAAGCCCATTCGTACTGTTTGCTGGCCTCGATGGCCTTATCAACCATTTTTCTGATTCANGAATTCTTGGAGTCTTCCATATGTGATTTACGTTCTGATACTTCCCCTCAACTTCCGAGTCCGGTCTATGCGAAAGGAATCCTCTGACAACATTTCCTGTGTTCCTAAGGGATCGAAAGTCGAACACTGGGGACTTGATCGAAACCAAAATAATGGCAGAATCCAGCAAGGGAGATGATAGAGATCAGTGTAGTACTTTTGAGCAGGCCATTGGTACCAGGCCCTCAATGTGTTTTGCACCCGTCGTGTTTGTTTTCCGGGCAGTTATCAGTTTTGATGTCGATAGCATTGTTTTCAGGGTGACCATAATTGACCAGGAAAGAATTCAGGAACGCCTGTTTGGGATTTTGGGAGAGGGTGTCCATGATGTCTGAGGGCAATTTTCCAATCCAAGGAACGAATTTTTGTGGTTTCTTCTATCGGTGGGTTTTGAAATGCCAGCCATTGCCGAACGATGATAAAATGGTGTGTGTTTTGTGTTTAAATCACAGGCCATGCGTCACTAATAACGATTGATCCATTTCTTCGTGTCGTTATAACTCCGCCATATGAGAGAGTGCCTTTCTGATCGGTTCTGAGTAGAAGAGGCATAGCTCATAACCTGCTTTTTGTCTTCTAAGGCTTCTTTTTCGGTGCAATACTCTGGTTTCTTCGTCGTCCAGCTTCTTCCTTTCGTCCCTGGTAGTTTTTTTCTCCGTCATTCGCTTGATAAACTTGTCAGAGCTTTGTAGATCGAATCAGTGACTGCAGCACAGGACCACCTAAACATGGGTCCCTATTGGTTGACGAGTCTCTGATGATCTTCTTTTTGGTTACCATTTTCACTGCAGTCGCCTAAGAAGGGACTTCAAGATTGCCATATCCTTTTCAGGCATCGTACTTGTGCATACATTTTACATTTGCCGCTGGAACGTTCTAATTGTCTCATAAAGGTTTCCCGGGACTGCTTTCCGAGTTAGTTTCACTCCAGTTGTCTGCCATGTACCTGTTAATGAGTTGAGTGCGCGGCAACCGGTTGGTAACCGCCAAGAGGTCCACCACGGCCGGCCCAGTTCAAGGCAGCCAACCTTCGATTGTGTTGGTCGACGGTGATTTTGCGGTTACGCTATCGATCGCGGCGATCGCCTAGACTCATCATTTATTACACCTTCTTTAAAACCTCATTACTGTCCTGTCGGCGAGGGTCTTTGAGAATTAAATGGCTTGTGCACCTGATGTTATCAGACTTCAACTGTTTCTTGATCCAATTTCAATTGTTTCTTATTCCAATTTTTCTTCAAGAATCCTTTTGAACCTTTGGGACTTTTGTTCAAACGGAAAAATTCAGTATAATTTTGGGGTTTCGGATTCTTAAGAATAATGGCAGTGATAGTCCGAACTAGTGCAAAAGTGGATAAGAAAACGCGAAAATGCTGTTTAATGCCGTTTGGAAGAAATGCAAGACCTCAAAAAGTAGTAGACTTAGGACTGGATGAGAATCTGCCCACAAGGCAGCTTGGAGGGTTTATTAGACGACTTGTCCAAGTGTGCATTTGCGTACAGCTGACTACAGTGAGCTGGGGGACGGTACGAACGTGCGTCCGAGGGTGCGCGCGGCGAATTGCGCGGCAAAGTTCGTGACGATTTGTACGACTGCCGAGCCAATTTTCGGGGCACAAACTCGAAGTAGTGTAGTTTAGTAGGGTCGGATGATCCTCCTAATCCGCTCTATTTGAAATTTGGGCCCCAATGGTAGGCGCCAAAGTCGTTCAAACCATTGCGAACTTCGCCGCGCAATTTGCCGCGCGCATCCTCGGACGCACGTTCGTACACATACCCCAGTGAGCTGTCTGCTGTGCGTCCTGGCGCTAATGGTGCAACCTCTACAGCCTCAACAAATCCGCGACAAAACGTCCGCCTCTGAGTGCACGTCGGCTAAGCCGTTTTTGACGAGACAGCGTCCTTTCTCCTATATTTGGGAGTGACAGGTTCGTCCTAGGGAGAAATCTCAGAAGTCTTTTCTATCGTTAAGTGTGCCTTTAACAGCAGCGAAGGAACTCAGAAGAAAAAGACTTCTCTGCTAGCTCTGCAGATGACACTGGGGCTGCACACGGCTATGTGAAACGTGGCGCGCATATGTAAGGACTAGCTAGGTATGGTGATTTGTGAGGTGGGACTGACTGCTGACATAAGGATTGAAAGGATTCCTGTCTTAATCTAGAAGTCCATTAATGAGTTCTCTGAGACAAGAGTTCAGAAAGAAGCCCAAAATAAAGTTCAGAATTGGTTTTCTTCAATGTATTCGCCAATTGCTAAAAAATGCAGATTCTGTGGAAGAAATGTCCTGTATACGGCTTGTTGGTGCGGGCAGGATTCGTGAGATGGGCGGGATTTTCTTACCCAATTAAGCCGCCGCCACTCATTTTATCGTCATCTTCTGTCGGTTTCTTTCTAGCCGTGTAGGTTTATTCTTGCAAGACTGGACCATTTCCAAAGTGAGCTCATAAATCCATTTAGGTGCTGCGTCAATTGCTTCAAGCTTTTGGATAGAATGCATGTAGTCGTCTGGAAAGTATCCCGAACGTTTCTGAATTCTTCTAATTTTTTATAAATTGAATTTTAATCATTGATTGCATCGATTTCATCTAGAGGGTAATTAGTAACATTAGGACGCTCGTCAAGACAGCTGAGTAAATAAATGTACCAATGCCCTGGTAGATGTGAATAATCACCCATTGGGCAGTCGAACATGAAGACTGCTGCCAAGAACTATAAGCTTTGGCTTTCTTCTATGTTTTGCAAACTTTTGTTTGTCGAATTGAGCTCAGGTCACGTCAAGCTGCGGAGGACTTCATCGTGATTTTCAATTTCAAACTTTCCGTTGACATCAGTTGTAGCCTTATTCTTCTTCCAAAAATACATAAGTATATATTGAGCTAAGTAAACGGATTTGGCTTGCTTAATTGAGTTGTTTACTTCTTTATTAATTCTCTCAGAAGAAGTAAATAAAGAACAACCCAGCTAGTGGCGATCGTACACTCAGAATTTCTCCGATAGAAGTTAGGTGTTGGCCAAGATAGGCAACCACTTTCGAATCCTTTCTTTCATGAAGCTCGCAACTCATATCATTAACCTTCACTTTAATTTGTTTTTTTTTCTACTTTATCCCAGTACTCTGCCTGGTCTCTTTTAAGTTTTATATCGTACTGAATTTCATTTTTATTTCACCTGAAAGGTCTTTTTGACCAAAATGATTAGCTCACGAAGAGTCGTCGACATTCCAACCACTCTCGTATTTCTTTTTTTTTCTTTCCTTGTCGAAACTTCGAGCCTGTCTATTCAGTCCTTGGAATTACCTTTTAGAAGCTGAACGAAGATTTTCAGGTTTGGGCAATGACGTCACCTCTCGCTCCCATTATGGGAGTGCTCGGCGGCTGTATGGGATGTATGATATTTGTCGAAAAAATCGCCAAGTAAGCAGCAAATTTAAATGGAATTCCTTCAAAATTTTTCCTGATATCCTGAAGATCCATTACTATTCCATATTTTTCATCATGAACTCGCACGCACACACACCACATATACATAGACATACACACAGATATACTCACGCTAAGTATGATTCCCCTTCTAGCGTGATTTTTATTAATGAAACCCTCTGACTTCTTGAATAAGGAAAAAAACCCGGTGAAAATTTAATGAATATACTAGTAATAATAAAATGAAGTATAGGGTAGTATAAAAATTAAATGCTTAATGAAAAATATGAAGTTGAATAGTGAAAATCTAAAGAAAAATCAAAGTAAAATGAATGTAAAATCCTTAATAGCTAGAAATATAAACTCTGAAATAAATGAAGTCAAAAATAGTAGAGACAAACAAATGGAATTATAAAACGATGTAAATAATTTGATTTCGTTTTGATTAATACAATTCGTGAACTATAATTGCAACATTTCAGAGAGGAACCGTCATCAATGAATCTCATGACGTTTTCCACATTTCTTTTCATTGCTAGCCATGGATTAATATTCACTTCAAAATTCTTCACCGTACCTAACAAAATTCCTATCAGGTGAGTGATCCTCCAAGGTTTAGACTGGCTGTTTGGAAGTTGGAGTAATAACAGAGAGACAATTTGAACAATCTAGCAATCTCTGGCATTGCTGGAGATATACGAAACGCGTTGAGCTTTGTCGTCTAGCCTACTAACGCTGTAGTCTGATCTGTAGCCCACCTTCAACAGCTACATCGCTTATCCAGCGAACCCTACAGTTCGGAGGGTTATCGAAACCGGTTTACCTTAACATCGCTTTTCCCCATTGTTAAGGAACTGATGACAGTTTCGGTACTCCTGGGTGGTCCGTTCTTCACATTCTCTTCCGGGAACTCAATCTTTGCACTTACGGTATATTTCCTTTTCCGCACCCAGCTTATTTCCTTGGTAAAAAAAACCCCGGTCAAGTCTGATTTTGAAAACCGAACATTTTTTTGGTCAGGAACGTAAGCAAGTGACCCTCCTCTGGGAAACAGGCATCGTACTTCTATCGTACTGTAGATAAAGTATAAATAAAGGAGAAAGTCTTGACGTTAACCAATCTCGTCTGGGGGATGCGCCCCGCAGTCGACTTCCATTCAGAATAGTAGTGCAGTAATAAGTGCGTATGTGACCTATTCAATGACTTGTGGCGGCCAGCCGATGTACAAGTTAGTGCTTTACCTTCCAGATGAGTCTGGTACCAATTAACCGACTCCGGAGGAATGGAAGGCTTGGTTTTCCTAGGCGGATATCGATCCGGAATTCGAGTGCATGACCATGCGTGTGTGAAGTGCGCCACTTGCCACTAGACCACCTCCACCCCGTACTGTAAAAATAATTTCAAAAAATAAAAAAAAGAGTCACGGTGACTTGGAAGTGGTCTACCTATACGAGTAATCAATGCATATAATTTTAGAGGCTATATCCCTACTGTGATCACATTCTTCACTGTCAATGTGATAAACAATCAGGCTTTGAATTTTCATGTTCCTGTACCATTGCATATCATTTTTCGATCCGTAAGTCTTTAGAAAGTAGTTGGGTTTCTCATTTCAAAATTGAATCGATCCTTAAGGGTTCCCTCATGGCTAATCTACTGTTGTCTATAATTTTACTCAAGAAAAAGTATACATTACGGAAATATCTCTCGGTCTTCTCTATCACTATCGGTATTGTGATCTGTACCTTAGCTACTAGTGATCTCGAAAAGGTATGTGGGTAAAAATCCGGATTCTAGCATTTTTTCGAATCTTTATCGACAATTGTCACCATTGTTTCATTCATTTCTTTTGTTCCAAAATGCTTCTCTTCAGCTGGAAGTATTTATTATTTCAGAAATCTGGTCTAACTTATGAGGAGGCAGCAAAACACTATCGAGAATGGACTATAGGCAAGTTAATTCATATATATAATATATTTTATATACATATTTATTTGTAAGAGTAATAAAGACTGAAGACGAGCCAGTAGGCACCATTCGATGTTATAAGGATGCGCCGTGCTCTCAAAGTCATTCAAGACCGTGAATACTTTAAATGCGTGAGTGGCTGGTGCAGTCGTTCATAGGCACCCCTAGTTTCAATGTCTTTTTTATCAAGTACATGCTTAACCTGGCATTGAAATGGGATCCCTAGAGCATGTGGGATTTGATCAGTTCGAATGAGTTACCCATATGAGCATTTCTCAGAGCACCACGCGGGCGGTACAGTTTGCACCACTGTTTTCTGTTGTTTTCTGCTTTCTTCCCCAATGAAGTATGAGCCACCTGGTCGGCTCTGGTAAATAGAGTCGGGTCGCACCAAATGGTCTGAGGATGTTCCAGAACTGCATCTCAAAAGCTATGAGATCTATCTTGACAGCTGGTATTTTCGGATGTTTCAAAGGAAGGAACGTGTGGTGACTGAATATATGATGTTCTGTTAAGGTCTATTCCCTGATTTTAGAAACAACATGTGCGCATTTTCGTGTGTGTTTGATCTGCTCCCTTCTCAAAATGATGTCGCTGTCGATCCTCCGCCCAAGTCAATTACCCAAGTCGTCTAGCTATTTCTCGGGTCAGAAGGCGGAGATAGAGCACTGGAGTAGTGGAATTGTAGCCCACAGGGTTTGTGGATTGATTCTGTAGGTGCAACCGCCTCTTTACTTGATATCACAATGGTTGTCGTCCTACTATGACCATTAACCCTCCCTCACTGAATCCCTAGCAGCTACTTACGCTAACTGCATTCATGGAGTAGACCAAACGTAAACACAATACTTTATTTCCGTATTATTACACCGTCCCAAGTTGATAGAGGTTAGGTTCCGGTGGTTACCAACAAAAGCTGTCAGGAGATGCGTTGGGAGCGTATGAGCTATTGGGAGTGATACGCTTTGCTCCGCCAGGGTTCTGGCTCGAATGAATACGGTCTGAACCACCATTTTTGCCCATCTTACAGCAGTTTTTAATCTTAAGCTATTTTTGGTAAAAACGAACATTAAGAAGTTGGTTTTTTTNTTTTTTTCAGGAATTGCGATGCTGGTCTTTGCGCTACTCGCTTCCGCCTACCTAGCTATTTGTCAGCAACGGATGTATGAAATGTACGGAAAGCATTCCGATGAAGCCATGTTCGTCATCGTAAGTCTACTTCTATAAGATAAAGTGATATGTAGTCGAATAGCACTTTTGGGATATTAGAAATCTGGGACGTGCCGGTCAATAGAGTAGGCCTATCTGCGGTTTAAGTGGGTGGTTTTGCTGCCAGCACAGTTCTATCCCCACTGTGATCGAAATCTACTCGACCATCTCTTTTATACTCCACCTACCTTCAATATGATGTTGCTTTCGTTATATTTAACAAATCGTCTTCTGACCCGCTACCTTCTTTAGTCGACTTTTTTGTGTTCTTTCACGTGTTTTCCGAATGTTCTGGAAGTTCTCATGGTCCCATTATTGAGGTGAAGCCAGCGACTTCTATAAGAATCAATCAAATCTACACGTTTTTATTCGATTTCTAGTTTTCATTACAGTTCGCTGATGATAGCTACCAATATAAACTCTATTTTTCAGCATGCAATTTCGTTGCCCTTGTTTTCCTTAATGGGAGCAGATATCATGGCTGCTGCGATGAAATTCAATAAGGTACGTTGAGAAGTTGTATGGAATCTCACTATACTCATCCCAGTATACCGTAGCCATAGGCTCTTCCCGACTGATGCCTTTCAGAGTGCACCGTTTGAAGTCGCTGGTATAACCATTCCCATACCTTCGCTATGGATGAATCTCTTTTTCAGCTGCATTTTACAGTAAGTTTTAATGGAAAACTCTTCCTATTTTTGACCTTTCCCACTGATTATCCCCCATTTTTATATATTACTAGTAGAATTCAGATCGTGTTTACGTAGGGTAACTTAGTTCGGGTCAAATTGCAAAGATACCCACGGCTGCTTCTGTGATTAGAAGCCTTTTCAATAGCTTCTTCTCCGATAGAAAGGCTCTAGTAGGGCACAAAACATTGTTTAGAGTCCATTATGCATGAAGTCATGGTAGACTTGTTCAGGTACTACTGCATTCGATTCGTTTATCGGCTCAATTCCGAGGTTGAGGCACTTACAGTAACGCTCGTAGTGACCCTGAGAAAGTTTTTATCGTTGGTCGTTTCGATATGGTGGTTCCAAAACCCATTTACATGTAGGTTTTGCTTGTTTTTATTTAGTTTTTTATTCTCTCTTTCGAAAATGGCAGTCCTCCCTTTATCGCAGACGTATGCAGTTATGAGTAATGTGAGCATCCCTAACCTGTGTGGTCGTTGGACTATCTGTGCCCATTACCTTTCAAGATGAAGTCCTTTGGCGTCGAAAAATCCCGTCTGAGGGATGTGGCTTCACACTGGACTTCCAGTTACAATTGTAGCGACGTATTGAATGGGGATGTGGCCTATACAATGACTTGCGGTGACCTGCCGGTGTGTAATTCAGTGCTTTTATCATCCCAGACGAGTCTGGTACCAGTTGCCTGGCCTCGGAGTGATGGAAGGCTCGGTTGACCCGGGCGGGGACCAAGCCGGAATTCGAACCCAGGGCCGTGCGTGTGTGATAGCGCGCCACTTACCACTTCACCACTTTTACCCTCTTTCTAGGTATTCAAAGATGTTCATGATATCCACTTTTTGTTTTATAGACCAACACTGGGTGGGCGCAGCATTGGTGTTTTCGGGCACATTGGCGTTTGCCGACGTATGGAGCTTCGGTGGTGTCGATAAGAAAAAGAAGAAAAGTTGAACGAACACATCGTTCATCTCGTAGAGTGTCTGCTAGATATTTTGATAGTTGTTAACGTATAGCTTACTTTTAATAATCGTTATATTAAGTGTTGATTATGCTCGAATTGCAGCAGTATTAGAACTGAGCTGTTAGTTCCAAAGTGGTTTCCTTCTCCATTGGCTGGAATATCTGTAATCTGTCTTGCTGCCCTTCAACCACGTTTAGTGTATTGCATAGCATCTCATTACCTGGACCTTAGAAGAGGCCAGTCATTCGTCCCAGGAATCTTACCGCTTTTAAACTCAACTGTACTTCTCACAAGATCCTTTTCAAAGGCAGTGCTGTAGCTGAAGTGGTTGTTGTCGTTGAACGACTCAGAAAACATATCCATTGATTGAGGGAAAGGTTGAGTTGCAGTAAGGTCAAGGCACAGTTCACGATAAAAATTGCTTCTGAGATTTCCCCATGGGATAGTTTCGAGGCCCCCTCGTACCCATTCCATGTTATTTCGGTCATGGCGATCTCGTCCAACCTCTATTTTCCCTACCTCTGAGGAGCCATATTTTTCTCGAAATTGACGAATTTTCTCGCTTACTTCACTACCAATGAACTATTCCCAACCTATACTTCCGTTTTTTGAATAAAAAAGGGTACCTCAAAATTATCGTGAACTGTGCCTTTGACCGCTGACTAAATTTCATAAACAAGATCTTCGAGATTCATTTGGGATCTTATTTTGATGAAATCCATACCTTTTGCTTTACTAGCACAGCCTTTACAAAAAAAAACTTACAGGATCTGTTGCATTTGAAAAGTATTTAAGAAGATTTTTCTCTGAAACACTTCTTTCCTTCTACTTTAAATCGTATCATGCATGTTTCTTTACAACTGGCAATTGATTTGAAGCTCCTTTTTTGAGAGAGTGTAGCTGTCGCAATGAACTTCAGTGTCATTGGGAATTGTTTTACAAGGTTCTGTACTCACTGGAAAATATCAGACTAGATGATTGATGATTGCATACGAACATGGGGAAATTCTGGTCCATGACGACGCCTTGGGCGCATAGGGAAGACGTCACAACGACGGTTGGTTGTGATACTGTCAATGCGGTGACTGTCCTATGAGGAAAATATTATAGTTCGGAATTTTTGCCTAGCTAAGTTCAAAATCAAAATCAATACGTTTGTAATTCAGTTCCTTTTTAATAGAACCGATCATGTTCAATTTGAAGTTTGCCACTGACAAGGAAGGTCTTTCAGGGCGTGGGACGCTTTTTGAAAAAGGTTTTTTTGCATGATGTAGGGGCATGAGCACTGAGTACAGAACTATGGTCCATTTCCGCTAAATGACCTTCTAAATGCCAAAAAAGGAGTGAAAATGATTTTGCCGGAAATTGCCGTTTTAACCCACTAAGGGTCGTTTGTTTCATTCACGGCGTCGATTGTCCATACAGTAGAAGGCGCCAGTGGACTGCGCATCGAAAATAACGTGAACAGTAGCCAGAAAAGGGGGCCAAATGTCAATTGTCGAAATGATCAATGGTACCAAGGGTTACGATTGCGTTGCTCCACTGCAGTCTTTCTCCTCGGACCCTCGAAGTGCATAAGAGAAGGCAAAAGGATATTCTAAAAGGATCGTCGTGCGGAAAAAATTCTCACGATGTTGACTATCTAAATCCGGTGCTTCATGATAGCCTACGTTGTGAACAAACTTTTGCGCCTGAACCGTGGTCTATCGTAGTTTTGGAGCCTTTTCACAACAACATAACACATTCTTGCCCGGAAATCCGCTTTTCCTTTATCCCACCGCATTCGTCGTCGTTGATTAAGCGGGATGTCGTTTTGAAACCTAGACAAGTTGGTAGGGATTACACTGCGATATCGAGTTTTCATCTTTTCTACGCTGTTGTCTGAACTGCTACGATTTTTCCGTTGCTTTGCTATGTGATTTGTCATTAAAAGCCGAACATCGTAGAAAGAACGATGAGAAAGCTCAGTGCACTTACTTTCCGGTCCATCCTCTGTATATATAAAGCGCTAACTTTGTGTGTACGTTTGCATGCCCGTTTGTGTGTCCTCCCGAAAGTCCACGTAGGTACGATCACGAGCGTGAAGATCACAAGAGCGCGGTGAGAAAACAGTTATGAAATAGGAAGTCGACCGATGCTCTTTATATTGGTCCGTTGGTTAATATCCAGTCTATTTATGAAAATCACAACTCGCCCCCCCCCCCCCCCCCCCCCCCTCCCCCCCC